GGTCGCATAGAGTGGCGGAGGGCGCATCGCGCGCTGATTCGGGAGGCGCTTGTTCAACACGCTTGCCGGGGTGGCGTCGCCGCCTGCGCTGGCCCAGGAGGGCGCGACGCGCAGCGCGACTCGGCCCCCACGCGCTCCGATCACGGCTGCACCGGCAGCATACCGCGGGTCCTGGAAGGCACGGTTGCGAGCGGCGGCGGCGGCACGGGCATGCGCAGACTGGTGCGCCGCATGCGCACTGGCGACATACCCGGCGTGCGACGGCGAGGAGTGCTGTGGCGGGCTGATGCTGCGGCCGGAGATGCGCGGCTGGAGCCGTTGGACTTTGGGCTGTTGTTTCCGGTAGTAGTCCGCGCGCTCGAAGTCGGGAACGACGGGCTGCTGCTCGGCGACGATTGGCGAGAGGTCGATGGGCGTGCTGTTGATGGCAGAGAGACCCCTTCGCGAACCTCGGAGGACAGAGGCGGAAGTCGGTCCGGCAGCCGCACACCCTCGCGAATCTCGCCGGAGAGCGGCGGCAGCTTGGCGTGCGCGCCGACAGGTGAGGGCGGGCGCGAGTGCTTCTTCTCCCAAGTTTCGCGCGCCTCAGCAATGAACACTGGTTCGGGCCAGCCCGCAAGCGCAACCATGTACGGGGTTGTCGCCGATGAAGTCGACGCGGATCGCTCGTGCCCGTGGTGCGGGCGCTGCGGTGGAGGCGGCGACGTCACGGTCATGTTGCGGGGTGGAGGACTAAGTTGGGGCCGGCCGACGGTGGGGATGCGTCGCAGAGACGTCGAGACGGGGGGCATCTGCCACGGCACCTAGGCGTGAGGTTTACTGGTGTAAGACTCGCTGATACTCGAGAGGTCGAGGAATGTGGACGCTTAAAGAGGAGGAGAAACGACACAACCTGCGAGCGTTGAGCGTGAGGCGCGGGTCGTGGGTATGGACACGCAGGTGCGTCGTTTCTAGCTTGATGCGCCGCTGCAGTACCGGTCGATGCGTGTGTAGATTGCGTCGATGGGACTAAAGCTGAAGGCCTTGGCTGTTCGAAACGGATAGTGCTAGTGGCCTGGTTCAGCGGGTCCAGATGGTTTGGCGGGTTGGGTTTGGCGGGTTCGAGTGTTGATGAGCCTGCCTAAAGGGGACACTAAAAACTAGTTTGAGAACAATGTGGCGGGTGTGGTAGGTTGCCGGAGGTTTGAGAGTGGATAAAGGTTTGGGGAAAGCGCAGGTCCGTCCAGAGTTCCCGCAGGTCCTGTCAGGTCCTGGAGTCAAGGGTGTGCGGGGTGGGTAGGTCCTAGATGATGGCCGGAATAGGGGGCACCGAAGAGGTCCAAGCGTGTGGAAAAGAGTTGGTGACAACAAGAGAAGTTGAGGGAGACGAGGGACCGGGGGACCGGGGGACAGAAGGCGATGATTAAGAGCTAAAGCAGGGGGGCTGATGCGGCTGATGCGGCTGATGCGTTAGGCGTTCGCTGGTTTGGGTTCGGCGGAGATGGTTGCTGAGGATGCGGGGATGCGGTTGAGGTTGCCGGTGCACCGGAGTTGGGCGTCTGGCGTCTAGAGCTTGGGGGGCTTGAAAGCTAGTGCGTGCGTAGTGGGTGGAGTAATAGGGGGTGGATGCGGCAATGACACGAGTCAAGATACCGACGAGGCTGGGAGATATGTGTGGGGTCGGGAGCGGGACAGGAGGCGGTGGTGTTGGGTCGCGTATATGGCTAGCTCTGCGATAGTGCACAGGACGAGGTGGATATGATGATGATGAGGATGTTGCTGCGGGGGTGAATGGGCAGCAGCTGGCGAGTGAGTCGCTATCTCATGATTGTAATCGCCTCGCTCTTTCGCTCTTTCGCTCTTTCGCTCTCGCCCGGTGCCGTGCTAAGGGTTTGGGGCTGAGGCTGAGGGCCTTTGGCGGACAGGGGCAGGGGGAGGGCAAAGTCAGGATAGGGTTTGCTCGACGAACACGAACCGGTTATTAATCCATCGGTTACGTTTTGATAGCCGGCCGGGCCATTACTCCATTTGCCGCGCGCCCTCTCCATTACTACAGCGTGATGCATACGAGCACTTGATCCACCACCGTATCGCATATGGCGCACCCCGTCAAGTGGGTCAACCATCAAACCCTTAATCACCCCTCTCGGTCTCCCCAGTTGCTTCACTGCTATCTACGGCAGCTCCGGCTTAGTGCCTGCCGCAACAGACTCGGAGCGGCGGGGCTGATGGCCTACGGCGCTACCAGAGACGTTACTGCGGTGTCGTATCGCATTCATGACGTTGCCTGCGGACGCCTATCGCAGACGCAAGCGACGTATTCAGCCCAGCCTGTCACCGTCTCCTAGTCCCCCTTCCCCTTGCATGGCTTGCGGCGGCGTGTGTCAAAAATTGAGCCTCCTGAGAGCCACCCCGACCATGACGGGCCACCAATCGTCACCAGCCGTCGGACAACCCCAACCGCCGGTCCGCGACGTTGTCGGGTGAGGAGAAAGAGAGTCGCCGGTACGCCGGTGCAGGCCCGCAAGCCCGGCACCCCTCGGCTGAAGGAAGGACCCTCATACGGCGAACCCGACACTCCGCAAGTTGGCCGGGCTGGCGCATCGGTGGCATTGGTGGCGACAACGATCATTGGGCTCCCCCACCCCGCCCCAAAGATAGAGATTGGAGATTGCTGGAAACGAGATCGGGTACTTGGCTCCCGGGTGCAGCTGCACTGCTGATCATATGAATCATGCAGCGCGCATGCATGTGTCCTGAAGGAAAACCTCATGTCCTGAAGGAGGCACCTGAAGTTTCCTGAGGTTGAGGCTCATGTTCAAAAATGCGGGGCCATCGGCAGTCCTTCGGCGATGTCTGCGATTAGCCTGCGCTAAGCACGGCCACGTTTGTTTTCTAATTCAATAACCTATTGGCAACTACCGCAGCCTAACAGCGTTAGGTCATCTGCCGCTCAGCGATCGATTAGAGTTTCATTTTGCCCGCTCGCCGCCATGTTGGGCGCATCCAGGCGTCCGCTTGTTTACAACCCGGGCCCTTCTGAACATTTCCCGCCGCATCGTTTTCGGGCTCCTTCTCTTCTTCGGCCTCCTCTACATGGCGAGGGCCTCGGAAAGGGTTCCCCCACGAGCAACGACACGGGGGCAGGTGTCAGGCCCTCGGAGGAGGTCTGTGCGTCTGCCTGTGCGCGTGCGTTCGCCGCTGGCTGACAGCCAGAGGTCGGCCGGGCCTGTTTGCCCTGACCTGTTCCTGAGCTCCTGAGGGGACAGACATCTGACCTGCCAGCGGCTAACTCGCCCAGGCAGACTCGAGTGCGGATATGGACATGATTTGCCACCGGCCGGGTAGCTCGTTTGGAAGACGAACAACGTGACCACAGCTAGGCTATATCAAGTTGCCGTGCTGCCTGCCCTGGGCGGTCTCTGATCTGGGCATCCGGGCCGGACTTTCTGGTTTTACTGGGATCAGTTGGAGCCAGAATCGCAGCCACACCGCCCAGCTCTACGAGGCGTACGGGGTATTTCCTCTGCGCTTCATCTGTGCGCTGGCTTGCATGCATGCCTCGGACCTGGACCTGGCCCTCCCCCCCCCTGTCCCGCCTCGTGCGCACGACACGCCCGCATACCTCGCCTCGTCCCTTGAGCCCGCCTCGAGGCAAAAGGCAGAAGTCTGAGCGCCGCCGTACACGCCGCATATGCCACCGGCTACACACGCTACGCGGTTAGGGCAGGGCGTCTACCGTGTCTGTCGATCACTCGGCGCACTAGCCTTCCTCTAAATCTTTGGGGAAACAGGATCCAAGGAAACAGCACGGCCACTCACGGTTAGCGCTGGGCGGACCCTCACCGTACCGACCGGCGGGACTAGCTCCCCCGCTCAACCTCTCCACTTTCCATCACCACTCCGCTATTGCTATAGCCTAGCCAGAACACCGTAGCCTTCCTCCACATGAACCACTTGTTACAACCGACCTGTCTCCGATTCATCCAAAATGGTGACAGCATTATTCCAAGGCCATTACAGCGGCTGATGGAGATACGCATACCCCACCAGCATCCACCGGTAGGCAGAGATCCCGGTTTGCTTCTGCCGCCTTCGTCCCCTGTTGCTATCCGCGCATATACTAAATCCACACGCACTAATGCGATCAACACCAGATCTCGTACATGATTTTCTAACTTCCTAGAATTATGGCAAGCGATGATGCCAGATTACGACTACTTCGTGAGCCACTAGCGGACAGGCTGTGGCTGGGGTTGGAGACTACGGAGATTCTAAAATTGATTAAGGACTGTCTTGTTTATTCGTTCTCTAGCTGTGTCTACGTGATCCTCTATCTCACCTTCTGCAACGACTATGGCGATGGATGTGGACTGAAAGACGAAATATTAGGAGAATATGAAAGTTATCGCCTGTGCGCACGGCGCTCGCGGCGCACGCCCGCGATGATAGCGAGGATCAGAGCGACGACGCAGCCGAGCGAAGAAACCTTGAACGCGGTCGCATAGCATGCCGCGCCAAGGAGACACTCATGCGACCTGTCGCCAGACCCGGTTCCAGCTCTCGCAAACTGAGCAACTATGGTACCAGGTCCGGCAGCGTCACCAGCCGTTCCCGCAGATGCAACGAGCCCTGACACCCCAGCGTTGGCCCCACCACCACGTGTGACGACGCCACGGGCAGGCCCTGACGCGCCTAGCGCTGCTCGCACTGCACGAGAGACCGGTCCGAGCGCCCCGGAAATGTCTCGAGCGTCTCGCGCAACTCCGACGCTGATGCTGGAGCGTCGTATCGAATGCCCCAGGCCAGGCAGGCCCAGGTCGGAGGGCTCCCCGACACGCCCAACTGTGTTCGAGTCGTATACTTTGCCTGTTTTCGAATGTCAGCCATTGCAACACGGATAACCAAGGCTCCAAAAACGCTCCAACAGTGACCACGGGTTGGGCCAGCTCCAACTCTATGCACAACCGTGACACCCGCTCATGGGTACGGCTACGATCGCGCCTCGCTCGCCGGGAAATCCGCCGCGGAGACCGACTCCCCAAACAATGTTGTTGGCGAGCGACACCATGCGTCATAGATGCGTCAGATGCGCCGCTGCGTCACACCCATCCCAACTTCAATTCACCACAATCGGCAAGCAACACTTACCGAAGATCATGTTGAAGACGTTCCCGCCGATGATGGGCGCGACGGAAGTCCAACCCCAGTTCTGGCTGAAGTGGGCTGCGTGTCAGCATCCAAAGACCTTGTCTCATCCGCTCCACCGAGCCTCTTCCGTAGCCACATAGCCACCTGAGCCACCACTACTGCCACTCATTGTAGCGGTTGCGTTAGGCGAGGGAACCGGTAGACCGCGTATATTCTGATGGGTGCGTGGGAGCGATCGATGAGATCAGCCAGGGAATCCCGGCATTCAGCACTACAACACCGAGTGTCCTCGTGCTCTCTCCACCAGATCACGGAAATATCCTTATCCCCCCAACGATACCGAGCAGGACCGGCTTTCTACGCACGCACCCGGCTACGTGCCGGATACGCCGGGTGCACCGGCACGTCGGCTCGGAAGCTCGCCGAAGTCACCAGATACACATGATTGCGAGCACCGGACAATACAGATCCGATCGGACATTGTCCGATAACAGTGTGGGCCCCGCGTCCCCGCATCCATAGCCGCTTCCCACATCGCGCATCTCCTACGCACACCAAGCGAGCCCATCTAGCCCTTCTCGAACATCTAGCGCGGCGCCAGTGCGGTGACTTGGGAAGACACTTACTCATTCCGAACCATTCCAGCACAAGCATTGGCAATGCGTTGAACAGCGACCCATAGGCGAAGCCGAGACTGGCTGAGACCATCCACAGGTGTTTCACCTGCTCCGTGTCGATAACGGCTACCTGGCTGCCGAGGAACATGAGCGCGACGAGGGGGAGGAACCAGATCTGAGGTCAGCCAAAACGATGCCCCGATGATTACGGCGTATGCGAGGATTGACCAGCTTCCGACAGTGACAAGTCACAGCGGTAGTCACAGTGTCACAACGACGGCCTTGGTACACGGTACTCACCCGCTTGATCCCAAAGCGCAAACGCATGAAGTCACTCAGCGCACCGCCGACGACACGTCCAAGGCAGTTGAAGATCGAGATCGTCGATACCTGCGTTGCCTGCAGCACCTTGACCTTCTTGGGATCATAGTCCCAGCCGTCCCGAGCGAGCGCGAGCGTGACAGCCTGCGGTCAGTAAACAACGGCAAGCCTAGCGGTGAATAACTCACGCCCACATTGTTGATCCACTCGAGCCCGATACCGCACAAGATCGCCAAAATGCTGAACAGCAGGTACCAGTCGGTGCGGCCGATGAGGTCAAAGGGCGAATAGTGGATCGCGGTTGGAGGCAGCGACTCGTTTGAGTCGTAGCGCTTGTGCCCGATGCTGCGCTGTAATAACGGTTCAGTCGGTGTGGGCGGAGACGAGTCCCTGTCGCCGTCGTGCTCGTGATTGCGGTGGGCGAGCGAGCCGGACGAGCTGCGCGCGAGTTCCAGGTCGTTGCTGATACCGAAGGGTGGGTCCTGTGCAAGCGTCTCGGCGGGCACGCCCTGCGACACCTGGCGCGAGAGACTGAGGTCGGCGTCCCGGTGGTCGTCGGGGTCGTCGCAGTGTACGGGCTCGTACTCGCTCGGCTGAGCTGGCGGGTATGGCTTGACGAGGATCGCGCCGATGAACATGGGCACGGCGGTGCCGATGGCGAGCACGCGCAGGAAACCGGACGTGCTGCCTCCGAGCGTGCGAGAGATCTGGCTGAAGAAGAATGCACTGAGACCAAAGCCGGCCAGGACCGATCCCGTTGCCGACGCGCGTAACTTGTCGGGGAATGACTTGGCCACAGCATTCATGCCGGCCGCCAGACCTGCCGAGCCTGCCGCGCCCGTCATGAACATGGACAGGATCAGCAGGCCGAGGAGCAGCGGCGACGCGGGCGTGTCGATGTCATCGGATGTGCGGATTGGGATGACCCCTCGATAGAACCAAGAGATGAAGAGGTAGCCGAAGAAGTTGAGCAGAGTCGCGGACAGCAGCGGCCTGAGCTCGTCAGATGGGCTCGTGCTATGATAAACTCACATGCGCTGTCCATGCTTGTCGACAATGTAGCCCCAGCTGCCTGTCAGCCTTGCGCACCCACATGTCGTGTGTCACTCACAACGGACCCGTCAGGTAGACGCCGAGATTGCCGCCAAGTCCGACAAGATTCGACTGCGTTGATGTGATGTTGAGCTTGGCCGCAAGCTGTGGAGCATATCCTGAATCGTTAGAGCGATAAGGCGCGCCGACCAACCTGAGTAGACATAGTTTGAGCCGCTAGAACGTCGTTAGCTCGTCATTCCATGCCGATCGGTCCGAAGACAGGTGCTGTAAATTTCCGGCCGCACTCACCTGGCAAGTCCGACTCCGACGGCGGAGACGAACATGACGATTCGCTTCTTCGACACGCTCCCTTCATCTTGCGCAGACGCCATGGTGGTCTGTGTGTGCTGTGGCCACCCGACTTGTCGTGTGACCGATTTCTTTTATAACTGCGAAGGCCTGGCCACTTCGACAGCCGCGTCAGTCATGCGAGGGAGATCAATGGTAGTGTAACAGTAACGCATTGATTCGTCTTGGTTCACGGCGCGTGTACCTATTTCGGATGTTGCCGAGACCTCAGCCAGCGTGTGATAGGCAGGCGCCCACGGTGACAACCTGTAACACGCCTAACCCTGAGGTGGGCTGAACGGACATTGCGAACAACCCCGTCCTGTGAGGAAACGATGCATGTACAGACTATGATTTACTTCTTGAACAACGTAATGATACTGGGAACTGTCAGCGACGTTGCGCAGCACAGAAACTCACTCCTCATCCTCCAGCACGTGGTCGAGACCGACCTTCTGGCCTCGCGAGTGCTTGGCTGATGTACCGTAAACCATGGCGTGCTTGAACTGCCGCTTGATGTCCTTGTGGATAGCGTCACAGAAGTTCTCGACCTTGCAGCGGCTGCGGCGCAAAACGACCGGCTGCGTGTAGTCGGGCTGCTTTCCTTTCGGCTTCGTGTAGACACGAACGAGGCTGACCCGTCAGTGCTGATGGGATGGCACGTAAGATACTCACTCGAGCTTCTTCCACATCTCCTCCTTGAGCTCGTCATCAACGTTGAGCCAGAGCTTGGACGAGATCGGAACACTGTTAGGGATCTTGTAAAGCAGGTCAAGCTCCTCCTGTTTTGTCAGCCTTGACGTCAGGCGCTACTCACAATGGAAATGGCGTCAATCTTGTTGAGAACACAAACCATCGGAATGTACACTCTGTTTTGTCAGCCGTGGCAGGCAAACTCGCACTCACCGGTTACCCTCGCAGACGTCAATAATGTCCTCAATGGTCGCGTTCGGCTCGTGAATGGAAACCTGGCACGACGACATCCTGTACTCGTTCAGAACCGCCTTAATGGTGGCGTGATCAATGTCCAAGGGGACGGTGTTCGTGATCTGCACACCACCAGTCTCCCTCTTCTTGATGGTGATGTTAGGCGGCTTCTTGTTCAGACGGATGCCCATGCCCTCCAACTCGTCCATCAGGATCTTCAGATCGTTGAGCGGCTTCAGAACGTCAAGAACGATGAAGATCAGGTTACAGGTACGCGCGACAGCGATGACCTGCTTACCACGACCCTTGCCGTCCTTGGCTCCCTGAATAATACCGGGAAGGTCGAGAATCTGCAGGCGGGCACCGTTGTAGACCATGGTTCCGGGAACAGTCGTGAGAGTCGTGAACTCGTACGAAGCGGCCTCAGAGTGAGTGCCACTGGGCTGTCAGCTGGCAAATCGAAGCTGCTGCACTCACGTCAGACCCGACATCAGAGTCGATTTTCCCTAATCGTTAATGCCAGCCAAGAACCGTATACCTACGACAGACGGAACTGAGGTCAGCGTAACAATCACGTTTACACTCACATCCTACGAATCCAACCGTGGCTACTCCAGTTCGCGCGACGTCGAAACCGATACCCGCACCACCACCGCCACCACCAGGAGGGTTGATCAGCTCTCGGCGGAGCTTCGCAAGTTTGGCTGAGGTCAGTATGCGTCTGTAGAGCGGCGCTCGCCACGACAAGAGAAGCAACGAACCCTTCAGTTGGCCAAGGTGGTACCTGACGGTCAGTGAAGCCCTCGACAACTACCCAATGGCCAACTCACTCCGTAGCCTTGTTCTTCTGCGTCCTCGCCATCTCATCCTCAATGTCCTTGATCTGTCGGTTCGAAATTCCATCGCAATAGGAGAAGTCGGATCAGCATGAGGTCACACGAGACGGGTCCTATGAACTCACCTTTTGAGCGGTCGTCATGTTGGCGTCCCTCTTTTGTATGCGTTGAAGTCAAAGAGATTTCGTCTCGTTTCCGAGTTTTTCAGTGTCGCCAGCAGTCGGCCTGGACGTTAACGTGCGTGAGCTGTGTCTATCAATGTCAAAGTGCTCGCTGTGGTGGTGCTTTGCAGAAGGTGAGACAGGGTCACCAGTCGCACACGTGTAATTTTTCTTCCGCCGCTTCAGTTGCCACTGAATCACACCCTGGCCCCCGCACCCACCGATGGCTTGACCACAGTGGATGTCCCAACACTCAGACGCTTCATCACCATTCATCGTTGTCAACCCGCTGAGCGACACTAGGGCCATAAAGAACCACTTCACTTTGTGGAGTGCACTCCCCACGACATGGCCCATCCCCTCACCCAGCACCCCCCCAACATGATCGGCTTTGGCGCACCGGCGACCATGTCGCCGCTTAGCTTCGGGTTCGGACAGCCTGGGATGACTCTTGGGTCGCCCGTTCGCCCAGGTGCGTTCAACGGTCTTCACCACGGCTTTGGAGTGACGTCTCCCGGCTTGACATCGCCTGGCTTTGGCTCAGCTGGTCCGTCGTCACCACTGAAGCGTGCTTCACCTCCTCGCACGTCCTCTATGCCTATCCCGACCCTGTCCAACAAGAGAACACGCCGCGCATCGTCAGTGTCATCTTCCTCGTCGCCAGTTGGATCGCCCTCATTGTCAAGCCGTCGAATGGATGACGACGACCGTCGTGAGCGCAAGATTGCCGGAAGCAAGGCGATCAAGCGCATCCGCAAGGAGACCGAGGAATCTTCTACGACTTCGGATGGTCCAGATCTCGGCTTGTTGCTCGGTAAGTCGCAAGGTGACCGATCATGCTGACTCTCCTTAGCTTCGCTTCCCTCAACCTCTCACCTTCCTATTCTCATGGACATCATCAATGAGGACCCATCACTCGCACCTCGTATCCTCCGTCGTATCCCGCAGCCGCCGCTGGACAACTGTCTGGAGCAGTTGGAGCGCATCGTGGCCAAGATCGGCCGTGCAACCGGGTCATGGGATGTCCAGGAAGGATACGTTGCTACACGACGATGGAACCGCGTCGAGGAGCAGGTCGACAACTTTACTAAGACAGCGTCCACGTACCTCAAGTTCTTCTCGCAGCCCTCGTCCACGCAGGAGCCCGTCGAGCCGAACACGCTCTACCACCTTTTGCACGCTCTCACAGCACACGCCCTCCAGATCTTGCCAATTGTTCCCGACGGACCGCCCACGAGCGCCCGGCCCTTCCTCGAGTTGGCCAATCTCGTGCTAACGACATGGGGCACATGGCTCACTCGCATCAGTGATGAAGTCAACAACCGCGGCGGCATGTTCCCTCACTCGATGGCGCAGTCTTGGGCGGACGGCCTTGACCAGCTCGCTCGCGAGCCCCCGCAGACAACTCAAGCGGCCGCGCCGTCGGTGTCGTGGGCCATGCCGATGAGCATGCCTGCCCCACCCTCTACGCGAGAGAACCCTCTGGTAATCGGCTTCCGTCACGCTCTCCAGCCCATTCGTGACCGCTTCATGAACGAGCTCGGGTGGCTCGCCGCGCGTGGATAACGCGCCACATAAGAGGTCGTTTCCAGACCAACCGCACGATAATCTGACGCCCCCAAAGAACGACATTGCACATTCCAACCATCCCAAAAGCAAGAATATTCCATCAGTCCATACCGCATTTTTATAGTCTCTCCCCGAAGCCTCCACGGGTCCTCCTGTTGTGCCATTTCTGTTTCACTCAAAACCACATACTATGCAGCAATGAATATAGCACTCGGGCCCAGTGGGCGCTTTGAACGCCCAATTGATGCAAAGAGCGGCCCGTATGAGCTTTCGAGTTGTATGGTCCCGTACATCCATCGTGCGCTGTGCGGGACGGAACCTCCAGCCTGGTGTGCAAGGTAGGTGGGGTAAGGGCACTCACGTGAACGCCGTGCATTCCAGATTTACCGTCAGCCCCGACTGGATTAGAAGTGGAACCACTGGAGATCCTAATGGCAGGGTAAAATTTGTAATGAGGGGTATGATGTAGTGCCAAGCGGCTCAGAGCGCCAGGAGCACAGGACCTCATTTTGCCGCCTACAGGGTGTCGAGCGGCTCATCTTGCGACCTGAACATCTGTCATCACTTGTCCATACTCTTTGCTTACACACTCTTCTCCTGCCACCTCACCCGTGCGACATATGGATCAAAAGGTCACGCAACAATAGTGGAATCCCCGGTTTCCACTCACATCCCGCCCGCCGCCTGCCGCCAGCGCTCCGCCGTCGGTACCGTTTCCTTCTCGCGAAGGCGAGCGTCACACTTCTCGCCTTCTCTTGTCCTGCGCCCACCTTCTCTCACCCCTCCACGCTCTCCGCCATGAACCCCGACCACGAAAGCGTCGTCGCTGCGACGTATCAATACGTCGTGGTCGCCGTCGTTGCGTGCGGTGTCTTTGCCGCGGGTGTTACGACGATCATGCTGCGTCGTCACCGGCGGCAGCAACTGCTAGCCGCGGCGCGTGGTGGAGGCGACGGCCGCGTTGTCTTTGGAGATGACGGGTACCTGTACGACATGCCTGGCGCGCCGCGCGTCAACACTGCCGGTCGCACACGGCGCAAGAAGCTCGGACCTACGCCGAAGATCTGGGACGCAGAGGTTGGAGGCGAGTACGCCGAGGAGGCCGACGAGGAGATCGGCTGGGAGGAGCAGAAGAACATGGGTGTCGGGTTACAGGTGGGTCTCGCTGCTTCTGCAGCTTCTTCGAGAGCCACCCGCTCACTCCAGCCCGTCTCCGTCGCTGTTCCCGCCCATGAGGCTGAGACAGAGGATCAGCCATACGTCGACGTCGCCGTTCTCATTGCCATGCCGGATCCGAGTTTGTCCTACTCTACCGACGAGGAGTATCCCACCTTCCGCCCGCCCAAGGTCCTCAACGACGACGAATACGAGTTCCCGCCAATGGCCGTGTCGTCGTTGCGTGTACCGGTGTCGACGGCCTGGGCTGATCTCGACGCCCTCCGCCCGCCCCCGAAGGAGCGCAGGAAGAAGAAGCCCGCCCCGCCTCAGCCGCCAAGGCAGAGCGCGTTCCGCCGCTTCCTCATGTCGGCGAGCACCTCTGCTGCTCGTCAGCGGTAGTGTTTTCTGTTTCCATCAAGTTGTGCTTCACCCCTCATTCCCATCTTGTTTCAGAGCTGCATTGTCAACGAAATTGCTCTCTCCCGAATCACCCCTCTGATATCTTCCCCAAGCTATCTTACGCATTATAATTGCATCTTCTGTTGTAGCATTTATGCCATACCCATGGATTTTTTGGGAACTTCTCTGCTGTGGGGACTCGTCGTGTCATCTCGTATCGCTGATCACGCCGTGGCTGTGATGAGTGGCTGGGATTGGAGCGCTTCCCGAGACTCAGTGGCTTGGCGGCGTCCAGGCCTGCCTGTACCCGTGGTGTCATTCTGTCCAGCCGCCCAGCCCACCATCGCATGCGTTGCAGTCATTACATCGTGAAGCATAATGGCCCCCGTCGACAGCGCTGCTGCACATCGACCGGTTCTCTATGAGTCTATTTTGGTCTACCCCTGGCCACAGGAGACACCCTGTTCGGGGCTCGTGCAGGACGGCAAACGCCGGGTGGTTTAGTCGAGAACGACGTTGTTCACGATCCACGGATGCTCCCTCACACTCGTCAGTGGCATGCGGTCCTCCGGTCGCAGCTCGAGAAGGCGGAGAATGAAGTCCTGGGCGTGTGCTGTCACGTATGGCGGGAAACGCACGTCGCGGTTACATATCCGTCGATGAACGGCTGCGTTGTCAGCTTACATTTCCGGCGCGAGAAGCTATATTCTCGCCGCTGCACCATAAGAGACACGGGCTCTCTTGCAGCCGCGTCGGGCAGTACTCACTCCTTTGATCATTGCCCGCGAACGGCTCGTCTCCCGTGACCATCTCGTACGCGAGAACACCGAGCGCCCAGACGTCGACAGCCTTACCGTGCGGCTTGCCAAGGAGCATCTCCGGCGAGATGTAGCTCGGCGTGCCGCACAGTGTGCTCTGTCTCTCCTCTGGGGAGTACACGCTCCAGCCAAAGTCGCCGATTTTGATCTCGCCATTCAGCCCGATCATCAAGTTTTCGGGCTTGATGTCGCGGTGAATGACGTTCTTCGAATGCAAGTAAGCAAGACCCTCTGCCACTTGATACGTGTACTGTGGGTCAGCTACAGTCTTGGGCTTCCATGGCTGGGGAGGGAAGGGTAGGACGATTACCAAAGTACTTACCATTGCACTTCGACGATCACTGAACCGGCCCCGCTTGTTCAGCTGGTGAAAGAGCTCGCCCGAGCCCGCGTACTCCATCATGAGATACAGATGCCGCTCGTCGTAAAAGTAGTCATACAGCCGAATGATATTGGGATGCCTGCCAGTCAGCTGGGTCACCTGCATTAGGAGCTCTTCAGGCCAGGCCGGCTCCATAGAGCTTGGCTGTTTGAACTGCTGGTCGATGCATACTGACCTGAGGTTCGCCATAATCTCGATCTCGCGCTCAACCTGCGTGCTGAGCGTGGCATGCTGTTCGATCGGTGCGCGCTCGAGACATTTGAGAGCTAGTAAGAAGCCGCTCTGGGCCTTTAACCGCGCGAGATACACTCGCCCGAACTTGCCCTTGCCGAGCGGTCTGCCGATCTCAAAGTCGTTCAGCTTTCGCGATACCCCGTGTCTGTTGTTAGCTGGGTAGGTTCCTTCAGTCGATACGAGGACTGGAATGGGTGGTGAGGGAAGGCCTAGCGATCGAACTAAGATAGATCGCGTGCGTACGGTAAGAGAGCAGAATGGACCGGAGCAGGAAGGAAGAGTACTTGGACAGGCACTCACGCGCTGATACCCGGCTCGAGTCCCATGTCGTCTCGTCGTCGTTAGTAGTCGTCAGTCGTCGTGATCGTAGAAGGCGTGTTGGTTGTGGTGGTACTGAGCTCAGGGCGATGTGCAGCTGACGAGACTGGCAAGGCCAGCCGAGGCGTGACTTCTTTGTTTGGTTCCGGCGGGAGCGAATCTGGTGGCGGGCGGTGGCAACCACACGGAGGAAACAGCATGCTTGTCCCGCAAGCACACCGCGGAGCATGCATGAGCATTGCAGCGTCGCACCAACAAGGAAACATGTGTGGTGCACAGTATATAAGGGGGAAATTGGAGCTTCGTTGTGTGCACGTCTGATACTACTTGGCGTTTGCCTTCCTTCCGAGCAACTACCGCCCTTGGCTCACCAACGACAAGCGTTTGTTTCTGTCACTCTGGAGATTTCAAGCACTGTGCACAGGAAACCAATGACGAAGATACAGTGGATTGTTCGAAATAACTCGGAAGATACCATAGTATGGACCTGCCCTTCCTCAACTGGTGACACTCAGGTAGTTTCGCGACTATGCGATATCGCGATTCTCGCGGAAACTAACACGGTCTACATTCGCGCGCGGGCTGCGCGACAGGTCTGAGAGAAGACAAGTATCAGGACAGGGTCCTGCCAGGAGATGAGACTTGCTTGACCACTGCACAGACATCGAGAGCCCGGTCCCATCTTTCATTGAGGTCTGTCACCTCAAGCTGAAAAAAGCTCCCCACTCCGCCTGTCAGCTATCCCAGAACGAAGAGGCCGGTGATGGTGGTCGTCAGTGCGCCTGTCCCTCCACAAAGCAATAAATATCTATGCTCAGTACACAAGGATACTTGGCCATCTTCTCTCCGGGGCGAATAGTTCTTCGTCGCTCAAAGCCGACGGTATCGGCCGGCGATTTCAGGCCACAGGATTCGTCAGCCGTAGTGGAGATCGTCGCGAGACCACATCTGAGCGCCGGGTTGTTTGTCTAATGCGAATATTCATAACAAGGCTGCTCTCTCGACTGCCAGTACAGGATTAAATTAGTTGGGGTAGATCTCGTCCTTGGTGCGGCCGCGCATGTGGGCGGGCTCGGTGCCAGAGACGTAAATGTCGTGGGAGAACTCGTGGTGGCCGGGCATGGGGCTCTTCTTGGCCTCCTCAACAGCCTTGGCGACCTCGGCCTTGGCCTCCTTGTCGATGGCCTTGAGGTCGTCCTCCGAGGCAACGCCCCACTCGGTGATGTACTTGCCGAGGCCGGCAATGGGGTCGTGCGCAGCACGCATCTGCTGGACCTCGTCACGGGTACGGTAGGTGGTTCCGGGGTCGGACATGGAGTGGCCACCGTAACGGTAGGTGACGAGCTCCATGAGAAGGGGACCCTTGCCGGAAGTGGTCCACTCCTTGGCGAACTCGCATCCCTGCTTGACGGCGAGGATGTCCATGGCGTTGACCTGGATACCGGGGATCTGGTCACCACGGGTGTAGTACTGAGTGTTCTGCGACGAACGCTCGGCAGAGGTACCCATTCCGTACTTGTTGTTCTCACAAACGAAGACACACGGGATGTTCCAGAGCTTGGCCATGTTGTACGCCTCGAAGACCTGTCCCTGGTTGGAAGCTCCGTCACCGTAGAGAGCGAAGGTGCAGTTGGGCTTCTTCTGGTACTTCTGGGCGAACGCAAGACCGGCGCCAACGGGAACCTGGGCACCGACGATACCGTTTCCACCGAAGAAGTTGGGGGTGAAGATGTGCATGGAGCCGCCCTTTCCGTGCGACATACCGTCCTCACGACCCATCAGCTCAGCGAGAACACCCTTGATCGTTCCTCCACGGAGAACGGCAAAGGTGTGGCAACGGTACGAGGTGATGACGAGGTCCTCGGGGGTGATGGCAGCCTCCATACCGACGGAGGCAGCCTCCTGACCGATGGCGAGGTGACAGAATCCACGGATGAACTTGCTCTTGTAGAGAGCGTCGGCGGCCTGCTCCATTCGGCGCATAGCGGACTGGGAGGTGTCAGGATTTCCGATTCCCAGCAGCTAAACGTCATAGGGTGATCGCAGTCGGGCGACCGCCGCGACCTCGGTCAGCACTCACCATGCGCTCGTACATCCACATCAGCTCGTCCTTCGTGACCATGGTCTGGTCCGAGGGCGGGTCGCACTTAAAGGCGTGGAACGAGTCCTCGGGAAGCTGGACCTTGAACTGCACGGAAAGTCAGCGGAAAGTCGGGATTTTCGTTTTCAGAATGCATACCGGCTTGTCACCCTCCTTGGGAACCTCGACGACATCCTTGTGGAGCGAACTCTTGTCGGCGGCGGTCTGGAGACCGCGGATCGCGATGGCGTTCAGCTGAAACGATTGTCAGTATGCGTTCTTGTCATGACGTGGTCTGGGAACTCGAGTGCCGCCTTTTGCCTTGATGCCGGCGGCAATGGCGGCGTGCGATATGACTGGTGCGCCATCCAGTGGTCCAGCACGATGTAGTTGCGGGCTACTCACCGGGTACGCTCGGGGAGCACGAAGGCTCGCTGCACGGAAGGCGGAGAGCATGGTGACGATGGGAGAAGGAGATGAGAAAAGTTGAGGAAGACGTGTGGTTCGAGTAGCCTGAAGACCTGTGTCGGCGGTGGACAGTGGGGGCGGTTGTTGGGGATGCCCAAGGCAAGCGGGCCGCGGGCGGTATGCCGATGAGAGCGGAGTCTTTCCTGCGCTCGGTATACTGCTATGACGGTGGTGACTGTATCCCTATGCTCAGCCTGGCTGCACCCCAGGTGGGGGTGGGAGTCACGTGTCGGCACATGAATTTCGAATCCAGGTTGCCGCTCCGGTCCGTTCGCAGTGCCGCTGGGGCTCCTCGGCGCGGCACACGGCGGCAACGGCCATGTCCATGTCCAATCTCCTAATCAGAAATGGAAAATCATTACTAGACGCATTAGAATGCCCATATACTGCAACACTCATCTCCGACCAGGCGACTTTCCGTCACGGGGAGTCGCGCGATCCAACGTCCGGTCGCCGGTCGCCTCCCGGCCTCGTCCCTATCGCACTTTCGATATCGGAGATGATTTTTGCTGTCCAATCTTTTCCAACCGTTTGATCCGATACATCTTCTACTTCATCGGTCTCGTGACCATTCTGCGACTCATAAGTCCGGTTCATGCAAAAGAGCATGCCGACTGCCGATCCGTTCACCCCGTGGATCCAGGTCCGTCGTGACAGTGTTCAGCGCGACCCAAGGCACACCGCCACGCGCCATAATCTTAAGTTCTCTGTTCAGGTCCGCGGTTTATGGACGAGAGCGAGCAATGTGGCAGCGAATGGGCTTGAGGAGATGCTATAGGAACGGACTGCCACTTCGACTGTTTCCAGTGAACTGACGAGCACCGCCGATCGGTGGTCTCCGGTGGGCAGACGATATCGCAACCCGTTTGGGAGGAAGCGCTCCGATAAATCTCGGGAGCCTGCGCTTAAGAACAGTGGAACAGGAAATTTGAGACGCTTGCGCGAGCCTTGGATAGCCTCGATCGATTACAGACGACCTCAAGGGCTGATCTTCGCCACATGAAGCGCAAAATCTGTCGAACACGATCAAAGCGAAGAATTACGGCTCCTTATCGCTAAGCTTACCTCTCACCCCGCGCCCCGGAAAATGTTCAGTTGTTGTCATAACCGTTTACCGCCGAGCGCTTCAGTTGGACACCGCCTGCGCGGCGCGACTACGTCAACAGATCGGATAAGCTGGAGAAGGCGTGGGGGGCGCGAAAGTTGGGGCGCACGGGCCGCGTTTGGGTGTCGCCGACGCGCACAAGGACAGCGAACGCGGAGTCAGGTACCGGCGGGCGTTCAGGTGCCCTTGGCCCCTGCGGGGCGAACGGACGTGATGCGTAAGGCGTCAGGCGAGTCACTGCGGACGTACCCGATCGCTTTATCTCTTCTTACTTCTTTCGACCAGGTGACGGCTGATGGAGGGGCGGCGCAAGAGAGAAGAACGGCAGCGACGAAACTGACAAAGGAAGGAAGCAAGCACGCAGATCTTACCCTCTCTTGGTTCTGGCCTGAGTTGCGCATCTTCCTCGCGCATCCGAATATGATGACTGACGTTCACTCTCTTCTCCTTGTCCATTGTTCAACCACCGCTTTCTGCACTCATACGCCAGTTTCGGACCGGCGCAGCCAGATCACCCTCCGAGACCGCGATCCCGCCCATCAGAGTGCTCCCGTCCGTCCTATCCCAGATGCGGTGGCCGTTCAAGTGCAGTTGCTGCTCATCATCGCCCTTCCTTCCACCAACCCCTTCCCTCACGCCACCGCCAAATCTGACCTACTGTGTCGGCATGTCCTTTGAGCCAGAGTGCAAACCGTTCGACTACCCCGAGGCGCCGTGGAATCGCTGCTGTCCGCCCGGATCTCAGCGAAAGACGGAGCAGCTGCAGGCCGTTCTCCCATTACCATCGACCGCCACTGCGACTTCCACACTCTCGCCTTGTTGCTGCGGAACCCCTGCGCGATCACAGCAGGCGACGTACAGCAGCACCTACCTGTGGTACCCAGCCGGTATCGCGATCGCAGTTCCACCTGAGAAGGCGACGGCGTCACCAACAGATCCCGGAAAGCTGGATAAACCGCAGATAGAGGAGCTGATGGAGCTCTTCACAAGCCCGAACGGTCCCTCACCAACCGCCGACATCATCAAGATGGTTAAGTCGTGGTGTGGGACTGAGTGAGTCATCTACTATCACCGAGCTGATCAACAGAGCGGGTCGGAAAGCTGTCTGCGGAGTGCTGAGGGAGCAGCTGCAGTGCGGAGGAGATGGCGCCCTGCGCGTGGGTCTTTCCGGCCTTCAGCATATTGGAGGTGTGCTAACTCCAGGCGATGCACTTCGTACAAGCCGTCCCCACCGAGTCCCTGGGCTCCCTCGTTGACGCCCTGAACGCATTCATCAAGGACGTATCGAATCCATACGATTACGCGCTCATCGCGGCGCAGTACCGCGACTCGGCACCCTGCGGCGGCGGCAACCCAGACAAGGGCAAGTACCGTTGGGAGCAGTTTCAGACCTTTGTCGGCAACCCGCGGTGCGAATGGCGACCAGCACCCGAGGAGATTGGCAAGCCGCTGCCGTGTGTCGAGGAGCCAAAGGTGCCGGAGGGGTGGCAGTGGGCGATGTTCAACCGGACTGTTTTGGACATTCATGCCTACTGTCAGAACGGGTACGAGTGGCCGTCCAAGTGAGCTCGCGAGCTGGTGCGTGTGAGGTGTAAACTTAAGTAGTTATCAGTAGAAAGCTCGGGGAGATGACCGTGTTAGTGACCAGGCGGCGACACAACTACATATTAGTATTCATGTACTTTACGGAGCGATACAGATGTCAGGAGACAGGGCCATGCCGGATGGCGGGGAGTGATACAGAGGGGCAGAGTGGCGTCGATGTAAGACGATGTGAGAGCTTAGCTGTGAGCGGTGAGGAAGCAGCGACAAGCTCTCTCAGATGCTGACGACCTGGTCCTTGTCGACGTAGGCTACGTGGTCGTCGTTGCGGATCTTCTCGAGAACCTCCTTGGAGAAGCGGCCCGAGTAGCCAAAGTAGTTTATAGCCTGGTAGAACCAAGCGTGCGAGATGCCGCTGATGACTCGCTCGTAATGCTTCTGCCAGTCCTCAAGCGAAGCCTGCCAGGGGTCGAATTGCTGCTGCGTAGTGTCGTCCTGTGAAACAGAGTCCTGCTTTCCGTCCTTGCTCTCGTCGTCCGTCTTCTCGCCACCATCGGTTTGGTTCGAGTCGTCCTTGCCGTCTCCCTGGGAGCCCGACTCGCCCGAGCCGTTGTCATTGTCGACACGGATGCCGCCATTGCCAGCCTCGCCGCGCAGAGGCCAATTGTCGTTCCACTCCTTCAGGTTGTCCATGTGCTGCTGAACGTCTTCCGGAGAGACGGTATCCTTGAACTTGACGATGTAAGAGTCGTCAACGGTGTTGCCATTGTCGTTCAGCGGCGCCTCCTTGGCCGCAACGAGGGCGGCAGTCGCAAACAAAGCGGCAGTGGCGAAGCGCATGCTAGTGTGAGTGCCGAGAGTTAGTGTAGCGTGATGAGTGTGGTGCGTGTGGTGTTGGTGAGAGAGCGGTGAGAACGGGAGTGCAACCGTGCCCGCCGTTGTCAACGCTGATCGTCGTGCAGCAGAACGACGGGGAAGGATAGTGTTTCGAGCTGTCTACGGCCGCCCTCCGCCCAGTACCGAGGAGAAGCGCGGATCGTAATGCGGAAAAGTTTCGGATATTTACGGCGTCATCCAGTCGCTAAACAGCCTGATTAGGCAGACTGCGACAGACCTTCCCCTCATCCAGACCTGCTAGCTGCGCTCGTCGTCGTGGGCCAAGATCTCGTCCGAAAGTGAGGACCACAGAGTGACAACTTGGTAGGAAGACGAACGAGGGGGATGAAGCGTCAGTCAGACTGGACCGTTCTCCTCCCCTAATGCACTTTGTACGGCCCTTGCGCGTTCCCTCAGGGCCCTCCGAAAGCTTGTTCAGAGCAGACTTCCAGGCTTCGCTGCGCAGCGGCCCACCTGTAAACATGGCCGCGCAGTGTGCCGGGTTCACCGGGGTGCGATTCCGGCTCGTAGACTTTGGGAGACTACCCGTCCCCCTCCCACGCAGGCCGGACCCATAAGAACGTTGATGTGCACGCGTGCGCTTGCACAGCTTGCCTATTCATTGTTCCTGCAGTTGCTTTCGGTGCACATCATCCGTCCAGGAAAGGCAGGGGAGATTGCCTGCCCAGGGCCAGGGGTGAGGCGTCACGGCCCGGTCAGTTGGGTCTCGGTACGGCGCAGAGTTGGGGTGGGCCAGAGAGGTTCAATACAGCGAATGAGACCACGAGGGTCGATGTTCGGTTGGGGGAGCCTGTGTTTGTTGGGTGGCCCCCACTCCTCCGTTACTCTGCTCCACGAGCACTTGTAGAGCGCAGTGCGGCTAGGTCGTTGATTGCAGTCTTGATTGCAGTCTGATCGCAGCATGCCTCATTCTGGCTACGCTTGGCGCTCGACTGGAGATGACGCGCACACCGATTAAGTTTTGGTTGAGGTGGGTGCTGGGCCTGTGGCTTGCTCGGCGAAATATTCCAGAGCAGTGGATGCAGTCGGATTGAACTGCGGGCGCTCTCGGGAGAGCCAGGGACTGGGTTTGGGCTCTTTGGGGCTGCCGATGCGGACGGGTGGAAACTCAAGTGCGCTGGGAAAGCGTCGGAAGGGTCAGGGGACGGAAGGGACGACGTCTGAGGAAGGCTGAAGTAGAGTTGGGCTGCCACGTTCAAGCTACCAGCCCGGGAAGGCTGCACGTTCTGCGCGCTCTCGTTACTCTCGTACACCCGGTGGATTTAGCTACCGCGTGCAGCGCGTGCGGATAACGCTGCCCCTGCGGTTCCCTCGCGAGCAGGACTACCACCAACTTTATCTCCATGAGACTCTTAAGGAACATTAAACTGTAACGGAGCTGTTCAGGCAATGAAGGGAGTGTGAAGCCTGGCAGCGCAGCCAAGGTGCTTTACAGTTTATTGGAAGATACGCACCTTATCCCAATTCAACATTACGGAACGTGACACCTCGTTAAGGTTTGCAACATCTACCCTCCCCTGGCGCTATCGAGAGAGGAACAACACAGGTACCATTCACCAAAGCTGAAATGTGCCGTGTGCCAGAAGCACCAGCAGTGTTTTCGGTGCTGTGTCTGGCAAAATCTCCCGGCCCCCGACAAACTAACGAAGGCCTTCTCGACGAACACAAATGTCCCAAGAATGAATACACATTGAATCGGCAGATACGAACACGACCACACAATAGGGTCGGCGCCGAACGTGCCGAGAACCTCGTGTGCCGAGTCATCAGCAGCTTGGCAGTGCTCCTGCCCTCCCTTTCTGCCAAGTCAATCGGCCACCGTTAAGAAACAAACAGCGCACTGTCAAGTCCGTGGTATTCATTACGCGGGGATGACAGACAGCGCCAGCACTTCTCCTCTGTCCCCTTAGCGAGGTCCCGGACTCGCGGATGAAGCCTTCTGACTGCGCTCACGAGTCCCGACAGACCTCGCCGCTCCCTCCCCGAAGCCATGGAGCCTTAGGTTTCATTACGCAAGGTGCCTCCCAAGCGCTCCTCCAGCGGTCGCAGCCCGGTCCCAGCCTTTCGATTTTGAAACCTTGGTCGCTGGTATCACACCCAAGAGGCGGCCTCAGAGTCAGCGCTTCCTTAAAGACCCCGCTGGTATCAGCCCGTACCGAGCCCGTGCCCTCATGTTACCGCTGTCCCGCCTGTGGCCGCGCCGGCCCTAAGACAGACGGGTGAGGCTGGGACCGTCTTTCAGCACGCTGAACGCAGTCCGCTGAATGCAGTGATATTCATGAGGCTCCGCTGGATCCAAATGGCACTCGCCGACGCTACGATCTTTACCTGTCCCCCCAGAATCCGCCAGCTGCTGGCCGGTAGGTCGCTAATCCCTCTGTTTGAACATCACATCAACCAAATGCTCCCCCTGCCTAATAGAACTGCTGCTGGCAGCACGCTGCATTGACAGCCTACATGTAGTTGAGTGGGTCGAGTGGGCCAAGGCGAACCAAGATTCAGCGGAATTGCTCCCCCCCCCCTTCCCTTCAGACAAAGTGATCGACATAATCGTTCAGGACAGACTAGGAGCCACCAGGATTCGTCAACTGCGCCTTCAGCTTTGGGTGGCCCTCAGATAAGTGTCTCACCCCTGCCGGCTTCTGCGGGCAATGCTGGCGACCCCGACGCCCTTGAGGAAGTTGCAAACGAGCGGGCATATCGCCGGTGACTGCCATGTAGCGCCATGTTTGTCGAATCCGCCATGCCCGACCAATGTGCGGTCTTGTTAACCCGGCTCTCTCCAGTATTGGGACGGATGGGTGCGCCATACGCCGGCGCCAATGCGCCAATGCCGACTTTGGGATAGGGCGCGTACGTCAACGAGTGATGATTCGAGACATATTGAACCCTCCCTGCAACGAAGAGGTACAGAGGGTGCGAGACCAGCGCTGTGCCTTCTGTGTGTGCGTCCTGAGGTGCGTGCGGTGGATTATGGGGGAGCGCGCTACGAATGCAAGCGGTGCTGCGTGTTGCCCATGGTGCGTTGCAGCTCCACGCCAAGGACCGAGGAGGGCGACGCAAGGACCCAAGGATTAGCAGATGCTTCTGTTAAACTGACGCTAGTCTGACTTGGTGACCAAAGTGACGGAGTCAGGGTGGTTCAGGGCATTTGTGTCAGGTCCCGAACCCAAGTGGTCGAAAAAAGTGCCCAAACCCTGAAGGTCCCTGAATCATGACCGAGATGATGTCTGCATGGTGCCACTGTGCGTCAGAAGTCAGAGGCGGCACCAACATTCGCCGTTGGCGAGGCAACCGAATCGCATCCAAACTAACGATAGAGTTTATGCGACCGCAAGAGCTTCCCTACGACTGTCGTCCTCTGTCCCATCCCACCATGGCCACGCCAAACAGCAGTGCGATACGCAAACCATACAGACTATAATACCCAGCTCCCTAGTCCAGCCCCTGCCGCTTACCGTCTGAGAGCTGCCCGCTATCGATACGTAACGATGTCTCAAGGTTAGGCAGTGGAACATCGAGTGACTAGTGAGATCAGACCAGGGCTTGCGGAGCGATATGTGCGCTCTAAACTCGCCGACGATAGGCAGAGGAAGCTCCATGGTTTCTTCCGAGCTGGCCAGCCCGAGGGCGGGAACGTCCCCGCACCGAATGGTGCCGTGCACCGAGACTCCCTACGCCCAGGACGCCTACAATCCTCCGTCGTCAGACTCCAACAATGCCAGTCATGGGGCTCGGCATTGAATACGTCAGAGGGCCCAAGAGCTGTCTCTTCATCGGACGCCCAAGAAGAGGGCACAGCAGCGTTTCTTGTGCCACTTATCGTAAAAATTAATCCGCGGACCCAAGCCCTGCGCTTCGTCCTGTCGAGTTCTCGCCCTGTTAAAGCGCCCCAGGATGCCGAGCTGCATGAGAACAACAGGTAGGTGTGGCTCTTGGAGCCGCACAGGATCCCTGCATCTCCCTGCGCAGATCTCCTCTTCGGTCCAAGACCCAGGTCGTCTAGGTCAAATCAGGTCGGTGTATGCGTAAGTGCGCCATACCTTGCGTCGTATCGGCGCTCCATTCTTATGGAGCAGCAGCGTGGTAGCGTGGGCGGTTGAAGCATAGGAGCCAGGGAGGGAAGGGAAGGATGTAAGGGGCTCGGCAGCCTGGGACCGGCGACACATGTGGCCGTGAGCCGCCCTGGCCCTTGCCGCTGCCCTGTGTCGGCCTGCGACACAGGGCCTTGGCCGTGAACGCGCGAGCCGCACGCCCTCCTCGCCTTCCCCGTCCTCCGCCCAGGGCACAAAGCGCGCATAACCAGGGCGTCGCTGGGTTCAGGGTCTAAAATTGCTTGTTGCGCCCTTGTCCAAACCCAAACACGTAACCAGCCCGTTCCCGATTTCCTCGCCATCCACACGAGTACACGAGACCAATGCTCAGCATCTGCCAACGGCCAATGCACAGCGCGGATCCACTGGATCATTACGTTCTGGTTCGGTGAAGCACAGCAACGGCCAAGGGGTAAGCATACTCGACCCGACGTACCGACGTACCGACCCCTTGTTACCTCGTTGCTGTACCCCGGTCCGCTTCCTTGTCCCCGTCCAAGACCGTCGGACGGGCACTCGACAAGGGGTACTGAGATCACTGATCGCTGTTACCGTTGTTCCATCACCAAAACTACCGACCGGGACGCTGGGTCTCCAGGTCGAGAGGAACTGAAGTGCGGTCGGGCTTGAACACTTCGGGTCGCTGGGTTTCACCCCGCCCCGGGACCAACTGGAAACCAGTGCCGCTAGTTGATGAGCCAACGCAACGCCAGTGCTTCTTACTCCGTGACTCCAGCTCCCACATGTAACTTACCAGCCGTCTTGCCAGTTCCCGCGCAGCGCGGTGATGGGTCGCCACCAACGTATGCGCAGCCAAACTTCGTCTAAAGCGTCGGAACGAGCCTCCGGGCTTTGACCAAATTCACGTGCGCGTGCACCACAAACAAGGCAGCTACTAGAGGTGGTGGTGGGAAGGCTGTGCCAGACCCGCGAGCCGCGAAATCGGAGTGGAATCGAGGAGTGGGTTGCAGCGGCGCATGTCACAGGTTTGGTACCTCTGGTCCCATACCACCTCCTGGGCCTGAACACACATGATGCATAATTCGGCGGCCCGGCGTCGTCCTTCGGAGTTCTTCCTCTGGTAGTGGCCTCGTCTCTCCTCGGCTCAGAGGAGGGCCCAGACAAGTCGAACACAGAGGTACGATCGAGTCAAGATCGATGGACATGTGAGGCGGCGACAGCACCGTGAGAGGACGAGTGGGTGCCGCTCAAGTCGACGTGACGTACGTTTGGCTTGACGACGCTCAGCTCTCAGCCCTGGCAAGACATGAAAAGCTCACGCTCTGCCTACAGTATCCTTGTTTGCCGTGCTTGGGCGTTGCAGACCGCTCCCGCCCCAAGAAATCGTTCACCCACTACTGCACAGGATATCGGCCAGTCATTGAGATCCTGGGCTGCCCGGCGACAGATCGTGATTGTTCCGACAGATTTTGGTAATGAAATTCCGGCGTTCATGAATGCACACTCGCGAGTACCTGCAATCCTTCGACTGGTACCACCGGCTGTCACGGCTGACGAGAGAGTTCTGGCGTGGTGGGTTCCGTTGTCGACCCGTTTGCACATCCCTGCTTACCCTTTCGGAAGCACGGGTGTAGCAAGTCCGCAAGCACTCTGCGTCGACGGCACGCAAGGAATGCAGGCAGGGAGGGCATGAGCGCAAGGCTTACTCGAGAGTAGAGAGCGTCGCACGTCTGTTTTCGCAGAGCAGTCTTTCGCTCTCACTGACGAGATGCTGGCGTGCGGTACATACCAGGGGACGACTGGTTCGACTATTATTTCCGGAAACTACTAAACGTTCCTTTGTTCCTTGGACGGTTCCTCGCTCGCCTTTGCGTGTTCCTGGGATCCTGCGTGCTGCAGAAGATGCTCAGGGTCTGGGCATAAAACAGGCATTAGACCTCCGGACCTGACGCAAAGAGGCCCCGGGGCCTGGCGCGCCATGCGCCACGGTCCCAGCAACGGAACCCAGCGGCCAGCGGCACCCAACAGTCCTCGAGGCACGCAGTCTCGAGTCGCATGGCCAGGGTCCTGGTGTGCTCAGGGCGTGGGCAGGAGGATTTAGGAAACGGTCGAAGGGTGGAACCTGAACCTGACGAAATCGAATCCTGAAAGCTTAGCGTCCTGAGCTAACAAAGTTGCAACGGCAGCGCCATGCGCGATACAGGGCACGCAGGGACGTCCGAACTACCGCAGAAAAGCACAGTGCATGGTGACCAAGGGTAGCAAGGGAAGGATCGGTACTGGCCCAAGGTTTGAGGGGCACAAGGGCACCAAGCAGGACGCAGAATGTCTCTGCTCAGGGCGGCCAAGGGTGTGGGCATAGGACGCAGGGCAGGGCGCACAGGGGTGATACACTCCCGTCCCAACCACTGCTTGCGGACGCTCCTCCCCAACCCAACATAGCAGCATAGCTTCAGATTCGACCCCGAATCCTCGAATCCACCCAGTGTCCCAACCACCCGCGACCCAGTCGCCAGTAGTCACTACCCACTTACTCGAGACCGACATCTCGCTCTCTCCTCCTCTTCTCTCAGTACCTTCACTCCGCCCACCGTCGCTTGACACTTGGAATCCACACTTCGAAGCACAACACTACACCCAACAACCCTCTGCTGCCTCGTACTCGTCACACCTCTCGGCATCCCATCCGACTCCGCTCGCTGCGGGCCGGTCATCTCGTCGTCAACCACCAGCCGTACTCAGACGACAACACACGTCCAGTCAGACCTTCACTGGGTCTCCGTCTAGGCTCCCGTTTCCTCTTGTGAGTAGGGCGCTCATTCGCGTGTGCGTGCGTGCATCGTAGATCGACTCCCACGTCTTCACTATGTTGGTTATGACCCAGGCCCGTTGCCCGCACACAGCCTGTGGTACTCGTGCGCGCATCCACACCAACACCCACGTCCTCGGTCGCCATCCTCCAGATGCGCTTCATCGGCTGCCACGCAGTGTCATGCATCGCATCGGTCTGTCCGATCCGATGCGTCTGCATTCCGTGCTGCGGCCCACACACCTACACACGCATACGAGTCACATAGCGCCGCTCCTGTGTTCAGCGTGCTTCTGCTTCGGAACCCGTCGCTGACCAACACAGACTTATACCCACCCACTCATTACGGGCCGTTACCGCCTCCCCCTGCCGCTAACGCTGCCGGCGCGACCGCCCCCAACAGCGACCCTGTTCTTTCGCTCGTGATTGTCCATTGTCTGTGTGCGCCCGTGCGTGCGCCTTGGACACTTTATTCCTTCTACTCCTAAACTTTAAACTTGATCTCATTATCGGTTCGAGTAATCTTTGGGACAAAACCAGTCACCTTTCGTCGACCTCACTCCCACCCTTTCGCGTCGCCGCCCTCGTCCTCGACCCTCGCGGCCTCACGCGTATCCCCGCCTCGATCCGGTGTTCTCGTTTCGTTGGTACCAACGATCTCTCATCCATCCATCCGATCTCCCAGCTCTTCGAGAGTAGGCTAGGCCCGAGTCCATACACGAACACAGACGGCCCCCTGCCCACTCTGCACAACGCAGACGCTTGAACTTCTTCTGGCGCAGCAACATTGCTCAAGGTGAGTCAAAACATTCCATGGTTCGACACCGTCCGGAACGTAGCCACGAGTCTTTGCCGAGGTGTCCGAGTTCCGCCCTTCTGGGACTTTGGGACGCCTTGGGTCTCGCCCTGTGTGACCCATTACCCACAGGTAACCGCACGATCGTGTGTGTTCGTGTCTCTCGTGCTGTGTGCCGTACACCTTGTGTGCCCAGTCTGCTCGTCGCTCTCAAGTGTCCGATCCGAACTCGCTGACTCTCCCCAGCATTTCTAAACTTCTTTCCTTCCCATTTCAACATGCCTTCGGTCGTAGTACGACCTTCACCGTCCCAGGTCAGCCCTAGCAAACCTGCTACGATGGAAGACCACCACTCGGAGCGTTCGGCGACGACCGCAACCGAAGATACGACGCCCCGTCGTACACAGCCAGCACCGCCGGCCGTGCGTCGTCCTAACACTCCGCGTGCCTCGCCTCCCCCTTCAGACAATGGCTCGAAGGCGGGCAAGAAGAAGCCCTCCTCAAGTCAGGCCCCCTCGCCTATTGCGACCCGCGACGAAGAGCGTGCCGGAGGTGACGCCAAGAAGGAGCCCCGAACCGACAACGACAAGTGGGTCGAGAGCGTCGACTACGCGTACGAGTATGTCCCGGTAGCGCAGCGTCGTGAGGGCCGCAAGAACATGTGAGTATCCCTCTGCCTATGTCCCTGGCCTCGACAGCATTGACACCGATCCAGCGAGTACAATCTCATTATCCGCCAGCAGCCCCTGCAGGCGCGAATGTGTGGCGTTGGAGAGAAGTGTAAGTTCAAGACTGATGACAAGGGCCCTGACGTTGCAGCCGACCGCCGCCCTGTCGATCCCACCCCAATCGTCCAGCTCGAGGTCATCACCAGCGACGGCGAAAAGGTCACGCCCGTCGGCCCGCGGTCTCGCGAGAGCACCGCCCCTCGAGGTGCGAACGGTGACGGAACCATGTACATGCAAAGTGAGACAGCTATCACCGTGCCCAAGAATTCATCTGACATTACGCAGACCCCTACTACTTCCTTTTTGCGTGCCTTGTCGGAGGCGATGACCAGGATTCCGAGCTGCACGTCATTGACGACGGGCGTACTCGATTCCTCACCGGCACCCCTGTCTCCTCACTGTATCACCTGAAGGACATTGACAACAAGGATGCTGCGTTCTTCGTCTTCCCGGACCTCGGCGTCCGCAAGGAAGGGCGCTACAAGCTCAAACTCACGCTCTTCGAGATTGTCGATCAAGAGGTTTACTACTGCACAACAAAGTTGACCTCCACTTTCTCGGTCTACTCGGCTAAGAAGTTCCCCGGCATGTCCAAGGCCACCGACCTGTCTCGCGTGATGGCGGATCAAGGTCTGAGGATTCGTGTTCGCAAGGTCCCTCGTCCTGCGGGCAAGAACAAGCCCAAGAGGAAGAACAGCGGTCAATCCGATTCCGAGGATCCCTACAGCAACGCTAAACGTCCTCGTCCCCATGCCTTATCATACCCGGGTGCAGGATACCCGCCTGATCCCCGGTACCCGCACGATGCTCATTACGCTTCGTACCCCCCACCCAACGGTACTTACGGAGGTTACTCTGGCTATCCTCCCCACATGGCTCCGCCTCCGCCTCCCCCGGCCTTCGAGGGAGCCTACCCTCCCGGTGGACCGCCGCCGTCTGCGTACCCGCAACACGCATCAAGCCCTGCAGCCTTGGCATGTTTGTGTCTGAGGATGAGGAGACGAAGACGGCCGAGCTCTTTGAGAAGTGGATCTGGACCGGAGACGATCGCGACATTGAGCGTGTCTGGGTCGACGGGCAGCTCGTTGTCGACAAGAGCGACGGAGACGTTGTGGATGGCGATGACGATGACGACGACAGCGAGTTGGGTGGTGACTCTGACGCTGATTCCGAGCCCACCGAGGTGGAGATCGGCACTGCAAACGGCACCCCGAACGGCAAAGTGAAGTAGTTCACGCAAACAGTTAAAGCATAGCAAAGAGCATAGCAAAGTTCCCCGCATTAGCAATCAAATGTCCTCTGTAACGGTACTTACGGAGGTTACTCTGGCTATCCTCCCCACATGGCTCCGCCTCCGCCTCCCCCGGCCTTCGAGGGAGCCTACCCTCCCGGTGGACCGCCGCCGTCTGCGTACCCGCAACACGCTCCCCCGTCGGCTCCTGGCCCGCCTCCGCCCAACGGACCTCCGCCGCCGGGATACTCGTCTCAGCCGTACGGGGGCTACCCTCCAAGCGGCTACGGTCGTCCTCGTCACTCCTATCCTGGCTACCCTGGCGAGAGCTACCCCGGCTACGGCGGCGCGCCTCCCCACGCCTATGACCCTCGATGGGAGGAAAGCCGTGACCCCCGCGACCCTCGCGACCCTCGCGTGGACCCTCGCGCCGATCCTCGCGACCCCCGTTCTGTCGATTCCCGAGCGGACCCACGCGCCGTTGATCCTCGAGCTGATCCCCGCGCCGTTGATCCCCGCGCCGACCCTCGTGCAGACCCCCGCGCGGTGGACCCTCGCGCTGACCCGCGTGCTATCGACCCTCGGGACCCGCGAGCTGTTGATCCTCGTGACCCCCGTGCAGTCGACCCTCTCGATCCCCGCGCTGTCGACCCCCGTGACCCTCGTGCCGTCGACCCCCGCGATCCTCGTGCTGTTGACCCGCGTGACCCGCGAGCGGACCCTCGCGCTGTCGACCCCCGGGACCCCCGGGCTGACCCCCGAATGGACCCCCGCGACATGCGCGTCGACCCTCGCGATCCCCGCGCAGCTGATCCTCGCGACATGCGTCCGGTGGACCCCCGCGACCCGCGTATTGACCCCCGGGATCCTCGTGCAGACCCTCGCCTCGACCCCAGGATGGATCCCCGCGATATGCGTGGAGCGGACCCTCGGGATGTCCGAGCTGCTTCTCTCGGTCCTCGCGACCCGCGTGACATTCGCGAGCTGTCGCGGGACCCCCGAGACTTGGGCCCGCGCGAACTCCATCACAGCCCGCACGACATGCGCGATCCTCGCGATCTTCCTCCCCACCCTTCTCGCCCCGACCCTAGGCAAGTTGACCCGAGGCAGATGGATCCCAGAATGGCGGACCCCAGGCAGGTCGACCCGCGCGACATGCGTGATCCTCGCGATGTTCGCGACCCACGAGACATGCGCGACCCAAGGGACATGCGCGACCCGCGGGACATTCGTGACCCTCGCATGGACCCGCGCAACATGGACCCGTACGCTCGCTCGCAGACGTCGCCCTACAACACACCGCCGCGCAGCAGCTCTGGATCCTCTGTGCCCCCTGGTCCGTCGCCGCACGACCTTCGCGGACGCCCAGTCGCTGGACCACCCCCGCCGCGCGACTATCACCACCGCCCCAGCCAGCCGAGCAACATGCGTCTTCAGCCGCTGAGCAGCCGTGTCGACGGCCCGCCCTCGCTCGGAGGTGCGTACCCCCACTCTCGCGACCTGCGGGACGAAATGTCACGCCCAGGCAGCGCCGCGTGGAGTGACCGCAGCCGCTCGCACCGCAGCATGGAGATTGACCCGCAGCCCGAGTCGAAGCCGACGGGTCGCATGGGCGTCGGACACCTGGTCGATTGATTCGATAGCGCGCAGAAGTGCAGCAGTGCAAGTATTTTCCCCCTTTCATTGTTTGGTATTTGAATAATCTAGAACGTCACCGGTGTATCAAAAGAAGAATGCATAAGAGAAGATCCATATTCAAGTTATGCCCCTGTACGGCTTATCGCCTGCATGAGCATAATCACAACTTGACGCAGTAGCACAGTGCGCAGTGCTCAGTACCGGACTTGTCAGCCGGTGTCAATTGGCCGCAGGTTGGATTGATAGCAGCCAAGATAAGGAACGCAGGGTCAGTCAGACATCGTGCCGAAAGGTCCGGGACCGTTCCTGGACTGTCCTGGGTGGTTACCGACCGTGGAACACGTAACTGACACTATCGCCCGTATCTCCGTATCGTTCATTCGTCCTTCCTCACCGTTCACGACATCATCTGTACGACTACCACATCCCCGACTTATATACCCTCATTGCATTCGCCAGCGTTCCGCATATCTCAGCTCCAGGACAGCGTCTGATACCCCTCTCGGATCCCTCCTTGACGACGATCCCCACCTTCCTTTCCCCGTCAACGAGTACCCTTCTACCCGCCGGCTGTCTTCCTCGCACTTCTCTACTCTTCGAATCAGCACCATGCCTTCTAGTGAGTCACACTTGCGGGGAATGATGACACAACACATATCTGGGGATCTGAATCGTGATGATACCCAGTGCTAATAGACTACAACGGACTGACCCTGACCTTCCTCCGTCTTGGCACACAGCTGACAATAGCTTCGATCTCTACCGCCGCTGGCCAGGAAACCTGGTACATCGGTTCCATGGTTCACTCTTTGAAGCGCGACAGTCTGGAGATCATGGATACGGCCATTCTCGCTGTGCGCGATGGTGTCATCCAGTGGAAGCGGGGCGTGCCGTCCGAGTCGGAATTGGCGACTGTGCTTGAGGATCTACTGGGCACCAACAGTTCCTCGATTCCTCCCAACATTGAACTTATCACGGATGGCTTCCTTTGTCCTGGCATGGTTGACACGCACACCCACGCACCGCAATACCCTAACAACGGCCTTGGCGCAGAGCTGCAGCTCTTAGACTGGCTCGACAAGTACACCTTCCCCCTCGAGAAGAAGTACTCCGACGAAGAGCTCGCGAGGCGCGCTTACTCTGCTGTGGTTCAGCGCACTCTCAACGCCGGAACGACGACTTCATGCTACTACGCAACTCTGCACAACGAGGCGAGCTGGACTCTAGCCCGCATTTGCGAGGAGGAAGGTCAGCGCGCGCTTGTCGGCAAGTGCTCGATGGACGTCGGTTCCTACTCTGAAAAGGACGCGTTCGACAAGACGGAAGAGTTCATCAAGAAGTTCCCTGGGAGTGAGATGGTCCAGCCTATCCTGACGCCGCGCTTTGCCTTATCGTGCACGGACGGGTTGATGCAGGAACTCGGCTCACTCGCCGCCAAGGACAACCTGCGCGTGCAGACGCACATCAGCGAGAACCACGCCGAGATTGCCGAGGTCAAGAAGCGTTTCGGCTGCAGCTATGCGGCGGCCTACGACCGCTTTGGACTGCTTGGCCCCCGCACGATCCTCGCCCACGCCGTGCATCTGACGGAGGACGAGCGTGCACTCATCAAGCAACGCGAGTGTGGAATCTCGCACTGCCCCAATTCGAACCTGCACCTGAACAGCGGCCTGTGTCCCGTCGCGTCGCTGCTCGACGAGGGCCTCAAGCTCGCGCTCGGAAGCGACTGCTCCGGCGGCTCGGCGCTCGGCATTCTGCCCCAGATCCGCCTCGCGATCCAGGTCTCCCGCGCCCTCGTCATGACGGGCAAGGCAAAGCGCAGTCTCAGTCTCGCCGAGGCGTGGTGGCTGGCAACGCGTGGCGGAGGCGAGGTGGCCGGCTTTGACGTCGGCAACTTTGAGCCTGGACGTCGCTTTGACGCGCTCCACATCAAGCCCTGCAGCCTTGGCATGTTTGTGTCTGAGGATGAGGAGACGAAGACGGCCGAGCTCTTTGAGAAGTGGATCTGGACCGGAGACGATCGCGACATTGAGCGTGTCTGGGTCGACGGGCAGCTCGTTGTCGACAAGAGCGACGGAGACGTTGTGGATGGCGATGACGATGACGACGACAGCGAGTTGGGTGGTGACTCTGACGCTGATTCCGAGCCCACCGAGGTGGAGATCGGCACTGCAAACGGCACCCCGAACGGCAAAGTGAAGTAGTTCACGCAAACAGTTAAAGCATAGCAAAGAGCATAGCAAAGTTCCCCGCATTAGCAATCAAATGTCCTCTGTAACCCAAGTCCGCATGCAGTTGTAATCACAGACTTGTTTTTGCATGATCATTGTCCACTTGGACCATTTTCACTACGGCGGGGCATTTGCTATGGACATTCTTCTTTGATCTTAACTTGATGATTGCGGCTTACCAGCCGCCATAGGGCTGAGAAGACTTGCTGGACGGGGCCACGGAGGGCTCGCGAGGGGGCGGGTCCCAGACCGACTCGCCGTGGTCGTGCTCCTCCTTGCTGTGCGAGTCCATAACACGACTCGCCGGCTGACGCGCCTGGGGCGCAGCGGGCTGGCGCCTGCGGCTCGACTCTTGCTGGCGGGCGATGGGGGTTCGGGCCGAGTCCTCGCGATCGGGAATGTGCACAGGCGGGGTGAAGTCGCCGGCCTGAGATGGGTCGCGGGTGACGGGAGGTTCACGAGCGGCGGGGCTGGTAGGCTGAGCTGGCGCAGCGGTCTGGGGAGGACCGGGTTGAGGCGGACCGGGGGCTCCCGCAGAGATGGCAGGAGAAGGGCTCCAGCCCAGCGCTTCCTTGCGGCCCGGCGCCTTGCGCTCGTAGTCGGGGTTGAGGTCGTGACGAGGGGGTTTCGCGTCGTAGTCGATCGGCTGAGACGCTGCAGGAGGTTGAGACTGCAGATTGCGAGCGGCCGCTGGGGCCGCCGGAGAACGCGACTCGGCTTGATGATCTTGGTCGGACGAGCGAGGAGCGTCGCGGGGACGAGGAGGCTCAGCATGCTGGTATCGTCCATCAGCAGGCTCGTAGGCGCGGATATGGTCGCGGTGGCGAGTAGGCTCGGTGGGCTGGTGACCTCCACGGGGAGGCTCGTAGGCGCGAGGGCGCTCAGCATGCTGGTAGCGTTCACCAGCAGGCTCTTGCGCACGAGGCGGGTTATCGCGGCGAGGCATTCCAGCCTGAGGAGGCTCAGGAGGCTGGGAGCGCTGACCAGCGGGCTCGTACGCTCGGAGTGGCTCGCTGTATCGGGGCACTTCAGCCTGGGGACGCTGAGGGAGCTGGTGGTGTTGAACTGCGGGCTCGTGGACACGGGGTGGCTCGTTGTGACGAGGCATCTCAGCTTGCTGATAGTGACCGCCACCGGCCGACTCGCGCACGCGGGGAGCATCAAACTGGCGAGGGTCGCGCTGCTGGTGACGGTCGCCGGCGGGCTCGTGCTGTCCCTGTCCAGCGTGGTAGGGAATGTGTTGACTGGACTGAATGAACCCTGCCTCACGGTAGGACTCGCGAGGGCGAACGTCGCCAGTGTAGAAATTGTCAGACCGGCGACGAGGCTCAGCCCAAGTGTCGCGCTCGCGGGGAGCACCGCCTTGATTGTAGCTGTCCGACTGGCGACGCGGCTCCGCCCAAGGCTCGCCGTGGGCAGGGCGAGGGGCAATGACGGGACGGGGCCGCTGGACTTGAGGCGGAGCTTCAATGACGCGTGGCGCGGCAGGAGGCAGCTGGGGCACGGGAACGTGGCGAGACTCGTTGCGCAGGGGAGGCTCGCTAGGTTGATGGGTGGGATGCTCCGAACGACGGTGCTGGTCGGGGACGGCGCCATAGTCAGGCTGCCGATCGCGCTGTGACGGGGCGGGGACGTAGGAAGTTCCCTGCACCTGCTGATCCTGCTGCTCAACACTCTCACGACGGTATCCAGGGTAGTGGATATCCTCACGGGGCTGCTCGCCTTGAAAGACCTCGCGATGGGCTTGAGGGGGAAGCCTGCTGTTGTCGCGGCGATCGGCGGTCGACATGGGCTTGCTCTTCGCCTCGAGCTGGGTGAAGGACGGGTTTTCATAACCAGGGTCGGTCGAAGGGGCCGCCGCAGGATGAGCATGGCCACCGGTTCGAACAGGAAGGAGCGACACAGCATCGTCACGAGGAGGGGTCGTTGTACTCTCTGGAGTAGTGTCGTCGGTCAGGGGAAGCCCCTTCTTGATCTTCCACCTCTTTAAGTCCTCGGGGTCATAAACCGGCTTCAACTGCCCGTCTTCCATCTTGGTTGAAAGGACGCGAGGTTGAAACTCGTCGGACTTGATGGGAGGGCTCTTCGTTGCCTGCTTGACCTTGGACGCGGTGGTGGTGGCATCGGTGCCACACCTCGAGACGGTCCTCGAGCCGGTTGTGTCGCGAGTGCTGGACGTCGAGGCGACGGGGACCGAAGGACACAAGTGGACGCGAGTTTGAATCTCACCAGACTCAGAGTAATCGAAGGTGACCTGCAGTTTAGCACGAACCCAGTTTCTAGACGAACCATGTACGCAGGAAGCGCGTTAGCTGCCACTCGCGCCGACTGAGTGGGCAAACGCGGAACCTTGACGTAAACAAAATCGTCGTCTTCCTTTGCAGCTCCACCCAACGAGACGGAGGGCTGCTGAGACCCAGCATTGTGCTGCTCTTTTCCGTGCGAAAGGGTGTCATCGCCTTGAGTGTCGGAGGGGTTGACAACACGTCCACTCTCGTCCACAAGCACTTCTTGACGCTGCGATTAGCCACCGATATCACTGTTGCGGGACTCACGTTGACTAATTGAGGGGGGATGCGCCGATCCCTGACTCTGATGGACTGCCCGTCGATGGTGGCACCATTCTGCTGCGTAAGCCATGGCACGACGTGGCCACATACCTCATACAGCATTGCACTCTCGGCGGCCCTTTTAGTTTCAAACATGACGCGGGCCTCAGCATACTTGAACCGCCTCTCGTACTCGATGCCGACGACTTTGCCGTACTTTGAGAAGCGCTCCACCAGGCTCTGCTCCGACTCATGAGCAGGAATGCCGCCGACATAGATGGCGGCGTCGTCAACGAAGCGAGGGATGCCACGCCAAGTGTCAGCTCGGACTGGGCGGCCCTTATAAGTGGGAAGGATCCTGCGCTTGAGATTGGGGGCAGCGTTGTGGAGTTGATGAGCATCACGGGGCTCGGGAGAGAACGTTGGCAAAGGGGAGTCACCCCTCCACTTGATGTTGGAATTCCACTTGCCGATCGTGAAGCCTGGCAGGTCCTCCAGTTGCTACTGTCAGCTTGAATGTGAGCCTTACCCTTACCTCGATGAGATGCCCAATCTTCCACGACCTGCAAACAACGAACTTCCAGGGCTGCCAAGTCTCAGTAGGCGGGATGACTTCCATCACCTCGCAATAGAAAGCGACAAGCTTAGGGAGGAACTGAATGTCAGTGGAAGTTGCTCGAGCAAGCCAGCACTCACGTCACGCTCGAGTTCACGACGGCCGAGGGGAATGACATCCAGGCGCATAGGATTCCTTGATGCTCCATCACCGTCTCCAGCATGGGGGAAGTCACCCTGACGCGGGTCCCAGAGTTCGATCTTCCAATACATGCGACGGTGACGCGAAGGGGTTGGCAGTGCCCAAACCTCGAGGGAGGGAGGCGCAGGGCGCATGTCGGATCCAGCGGGCACAGACTGCTGACGGTGCGAGGAGACGGGAGAGGCGGAGCGCGAGCGATCATCGTGTCGGTCGCCAGTCACCTTGATCCAGAGACCAATGAACTCATCCTCAGCAGGACGCTGGTAGATTTGGAGACGAACGGGGACAGCGCTTGAAGTAGCAGCCGACTGGAAGCTGCCGTCGTGCCTATTTCTATCGTTCATGAGCAGGACAATGGAGTCCTGATGCTACTTGGTCAGCCTTGTCGAGGCGGTCCAACCTCACCTGGAAAACAACGGCAGCCCGATCACTGTAGCCCTCCTTGTGAAGAGGGAACGGCGACCTGAAGTCAGTGATACATATGATCAGGTCCGACTCACACGCAGCGCAGCCTTCCATACTTGGAGAAATGAGTCTGCAGGAAGGTCTGGAAGGCGTCGGTGCGGATGGGGAAGGGTGCACTATCGTCAGTGTCGCAAGCACGAGGTACTCACACTACGATGACACGCCGAGACTGGAAGCGAGGACTGTCGCGGGGGTGAGTCGTCTCCCTCTTCCAGAACTCAGGGTCTGACTCTGGCTCGACTCCCTCCTTCCACTCGTCATGTGCGTCGGCGTCGGTGATGTCCGAGGGCGTGCGGGGCCGATCGAACTCGTCGTCGTCCGAGTTCGGCGAAGGCGAGTTCTGCCCGCCACTTGCCTTCATGGGAAGGGTGCTCGACTCGGGGTCGTGAGCAGATGAAGGCATACGGGGCTCGGGACTGGGGTCGGGAGAAATGTAAAGAGTGACAGGCTTCGGCATCGGCTTAGTGCTGTCGGGGCGCTCAGGGAGCGAGACGTTGTCATCAGCGGCCTCCGTGCTGAGCACCGCCATTGCTGGAACTTGCTGAGTGTCGTTAACATTGCCCGCCCATGCCTGGATGTTGGGGCTATTCCAGGCCGCCCCATCGCTCGTCAACTCCACAGATGGCTTAAGACTCCAACCGTGCTCGCTCGCGAGCCCCTTGGGTGAGCACTCCTGAGCAGGCTTGGGCGGCAGCACGTGGCGAGGAGTGCTGTGGCGCGGAACATTGAACTCGGTCGCGGGAGGGGGCTGCTCGTGCGAAGCGTGGCGAGTACGGTCATGAACACGTGCAGGTTCATCCTGGGCGCGACGGAACTGGTGCTCATCGCGTTGATCGTCGCCATGGCCAGCCATCGGCGGCTGAGCCCCGCCGCTTTGAACACAAACAGCTGGGGCAGGAATGGGCTCTGCGCGCTGGGGGATGCTAGTCGTCCACGGCCCAGGCTGGTCCATAGGAACAGACGGGGAGGGGTGTCCAGCGGGGAGCTGCTGGTCGCTGCGGATAGGACCTTGAGACTGGTGGACGCTTGGGGGAAGGCTCTGAGGATAGTTCGCCGACGAGACACGCTGGCGCTGACCATGAGCGGAATACAGAGTCTTCTCGTGAGAGAACTCAGCCGGAATAGGAGAGGCTTGCCCATGAGCGTCACGGGTCTGATAAATTGGCTCAGGCTCTGCCGCCGAGCTGTAAGTTTGACGAGGAACGGCAGATGAATGAACAGGCGCAGGGTGGACCTGGGCGCTTGGGGAGGTGGGGAAGTCGCTCTCGACAGTCTCGCTCTGGGATGGATCGGGGCGACGGAGTGGCGCACTCTGAGGCTGCTCGTGGTCTTGAGGGACGTTGTCCGAGGGCCTTCCCCACGTCCGAGGGCGGGTCACGGCAACGCTATTGGCATCGTAGGACTCGGTCGTGAAACCCATTCCAGGGCGGCGGAGACGGGGAGGGACGACGATCTTGTGCCCGCGGTCCCACGTCGACACGGTTGGAGCACCAGAGGGCTGAACGTGCTCAGCCTCGCGATCCGCCTGGGGGTCTCCGGCGATTGTGGTGTGCTGGGGCCCGGTGAAGGCAGGCGCCGACTGAGCAAGCGGGGTATCCGTGGGCCCACCACCGTAGGTGGGACCAGACATGTAGCTGCGACGGCCCTCGCTCGGATGATACTGTTGTCAGCGGAAATCATTCGTCGGTCTTACCTCGGAAGCCGGCTCAGGGGCAACAACAGGCTGGGGCGTAGGTGGATGGGGCGTCACAGCGTGGAGCTGCTTCTTCGAAGTGGCGAGAGCAACCTCGGCCTCGCTCTGGTGCGACTGCGCGGTCAGTGCGTGTTTGTTGGGAGCAAGCCAACAACGTACGGGGGTAGGCACAGGGGGTGGAGCCGCCGATCCCGCTTCACTGCGAGGATAACTAGCCACGCTGGCCCTCGACGACGCCTGTTCCGTTAGCGATCTCTGCTACCCTTTACGGAGCCTCACGATGACCTCCCTGCGGGAAGGAGGCTACCACAGTCAGCGAACTGATACTCGGAATGACCTGAGTACTCACAGTGGCATCCATACCCTTGTAGTAAGAGCGAGGCATCGAGTCGTGCGGGGCGTAGCGGCGCCCATAGTCTTGATCGCGATGAGCGGTGTACGAGCCGTGCGGGCTGGTGGGATGATTCTCGGCGCTGTAGTGGTCGGGAAGCGGCTGGTAGTGCCGGGGAGGGGGACCACGGTCGCTTCCGTGGTGCGACCCGCCGCCGGGAGGCGGATGGTTGCGATACTCGCTCATGTCTAGAGACGAGGAAGGGATCGGTCGGCCTTCTCGTCCTCGACTGTAAGTGAGTTGTGGCCAGAGGGATGGAGAGGAGGGGTGGAAGGAAGGGTGAGGAGATGAGGGATGTGAAGATGAGAGTGAAGGAAGGAGGAAGTGCCGTGGAGCGGGCGGCGGGAGGAGCTGATGACTGGATCTGAACGTGGAACCAAAGGACCTTGAGCCTTGGAGGGCGAGGGCGCAACGGCGCGAGATCGCGAGGAAGACAGTGTGCGGTACGGGGCACGACGTGCAACACACACGGGGGATTGGCGGCTCTGCCAGTCTGCTCTGAGGAAGGCAGCGTTCAGCAACCGCCTTCCCCCTGCGCAGCACAGATTGGCCGCTTTGCGCCCCTCATCCAGCCCACAGCGCCCCTCAGCTCGTGTAGAAAACGGGCACATCGTCCCGCACCAGCATATCCCGCCTCACAATTACGAGGGGCGCTGCGCGCCTCCCAGAATTAATCTGTCGTGAGTGGACCACTTCGCTGTCATCTGATAAGTCAGTGCTTCAACTGGTCAAACCGTGAGCATCAGAATCTCTGAACTTCCAGTGTAGACCCCGTCGTCATCGGTGTCCAACATCGCTCTGTTGTCCCTTCATCGAATATTGTCGAGTCCATGCCATCCTCACTGAAGAGGCACCGGCACTCCTAAACCGTCGACCCGCAGTCCTTCCAGGCGAGGAGCGCGAGGAGGCCGCCCTACGACTCCCTTTGGTCAGATTCCTCATCAGACACTCACACCGGGGCGCAGGGCGCAGGTCCTTCTACACGAGATTGCCCGCCGATCCCGGTCCGCATCCCCATCAGTGTTTCCCACCACGGTACCACGGTTCAACCACTTAGAAAGATCGTCGTCCACCCTTCAAGGATATCGCTTGATCGGAGCTGTGCATTTCGTGCCGGTGTCGTGAGCATGGTTAGCAACGGGTGTGAAGCGTGCGTGGAAGAGTGATTGCAGAAACTCTAAATCGTGATGCGACTGGAACCAGGGATGATGCCGCGGAATCAGGGCATCGGCCTCTGCGGAGCGGCTGGAGGGGTCCAGCAGTGATCGCTGAGGGCGCCGTGAATGGCGCACGAGGCATCTGGACGATGCGTACGATGCCCGCCAGCGTTCTCTGCGTCTTCCACAAGCACTCAGAAATGCCACCTGCACTGAGCGTACCTGCATGTACAGATGCATGACGTGTAGCCGTGGCAAACTCGGCTGCATCTCTTAACAGGGTTGCGCTTGCAAGGAACAAACCCATCATTCCAGCAGAGAGACACAGAGCTGGCGGGTGCAGGTGGCAAGTCACGGGACTGCCTACCCACGTGGCCCCAAAATACTCCCGCCACTTCTTGAATTTCTGAATCTTCACCTCACGGCTCGCTGATCGCATCGACGAGCACAAGGTCATCCCCTCCGTCAACCCCCTACCCCATCAAAAGCATCGCCCACCATGCACCTTATGTACACGCTCGACGACAAGGGAAACCGGTAAGCTCAAGCCAGACGGAACTCAGCTGACAATCCAGTGTGTACACCCTCAAGGTATGTTTTGCGATCGATGAGCGGCGGTCATGTCTGCGATCTGCGCGAGGGAAGGAGCACGCGAGCTTAACCGTCGGCGAGCATGCTTGGAATACTGCATGCTTCAGGAAGTTACGCTCTAACTAAAGCAACACCTGGACTCATGACTGGGAGCTCATTCGCTTGGAAATTTAACCCGAAGCCATTGCGAGATCGAGACTGCGCCGCCCGCCCTGGCTCTAACAGTGCAACCATAGCTGACCGACAGAAAATCACCGCTGAGGGCAAGCCGACGAAGTCTGCGCACCCGGCGCGTTTCTCCCCCGATGACAAGTTCTCGCGTCACCGCGTGACCATCAAGAAGCGGTGAGTTCTGAAGCTGTGATGCCGGCGATGTGAACAACCAGAGCCGGCAGCTCGCAGCTGAGCCGGGGCAGAGCTAATGACCAGCTTCGGCATCCTCCCCACCCAGCTTCCGTCCAAGCCCCTCTAACCTGTTGTATTTGTTATGTATCCATGCGATGCTATATGCTAAGCGATTCTAAAATGAAAATGCCTGGAGCCCAAAGCCTCACTCAACCCTCTCGCTCTCGTCCTTCCTCGACGTCGCGCTCACCCGACACTCTACTCGTCTTCCGATCGTATGATTACTAGGGGGTCACAATACAAACGTAATACAAGGTACACTACGAGGAGGACGCCGGTTGCGGGGTCGGCTCATCTAACGGCCCAGCGCGCTCGTCGGGCAGGTCCGTAATCACACCCGGCAGCGGCGCCTTTTCCACCTTTGACGCCTCTTCCAGATCCTTCTGGCCCATCGCCGACAGCTTGTTGTACTTGGGCGACTTGGCGTTGGGCGGCATGACCTTGCCAAAGTCTATAATGTCCAGGACGTCGGAGCCAAACTCGGGCGTGTAGTCGCGGTCGGACGCTGCCCAGAGCTCATGGATCTTTCCCTTCTGCTCAAAGATCCAGTCGTCAGACTTCAGCCAGTCTAATGGTTAACTTCGCATCAAAGGTTCACTCACGAAGGGCGACAGTCTCCGTCGTGTAGTTCAGCTGGTTCCAATCTCCCATAGCCCAGCCGTAGTCTATTCGCTGGACGGGGTCCAAGACTGGGTCGAGTAATCTCAGCCATTGGCCCGTACGCGCGTCCTCGATCTTAATCTTGTGCGCGTATGGCAGATCTGCGGAACCGATCCAAGATACCAGAGGCCACGACAGGCCGTAGCCGAGGCCGCGGAAGTACTGCCTGAAGTGGCCTGATGAGCCAGCCGAGGTGCCCCAGTAAACATTCTTCTTGCAGTTGAGGCTTTGCAGGGTGCGCACGACATTGGGCATGACAAGGTAAGTCTTACATTAGCTGGCTGAAGCACGCGTCTTGGCAGCAAACCAAAAGCACTCACGTCGTCATCCGCCTTCATCACGAAGCGAGGTCGACCGCGCACTTGTCCATCGCCGGCATAGTGCTGGGCAACCCACTTGAAGTACTCGAACGTCTTGCCAAAGTCAATGTTGTCGTCGATCTAAGGAGATCAGGTGCCATTCTATTTCGGTGCCCGGGCTGCACTCACGTCCAAAATCACCATGTCCTTATGTTCCTCCGCCTCCTGCTTCAGTCCATCCAGGATCTTTAAGCGCTTCAGCGAGTCGAGGGGATACTTTACAGCCGGCGGGTGGGCAAGGATGAACTTGATCTCCACCTCATCGGGCCATTCCGGTAAGATGTGCTTTCGGTACCTGTTGATTGGTGTTAGCTATCTGCTGCGGGGTGTGGAGGTGGGGGACGGGTTGTATTGTACGCGGCGCAGCACGCGCAGCGCGTCTGCTTTCACTCACAGGTCTCTTCGTCCTTTGCCGTTCAGGCTGGAAGAGAAGATGCCTATGAAAGCTAGCTTTCCACTGTTGGCGCCCTCGAGAGGGATGTCGCAACCGATCTCGTGTGGTTGACGCGCGCTGAGGAGGGAATAGTCGGGCTCCTCGAAGCTCCTCTGCACGCCTTCAGGCTCTAGCAGCCATTGCTTCTCGTGCGACGTTCCCACTCCCTCTTCGTCTAGAGCGGCGGCATAGGTCGTGGCCGTCTGCAGGCCAGGTGGTCGATCGGGAAGGGATAGCTGAGCGACAAAGATGATGAGGGCGGCAAGCACGGCAGAAGCGAGGACGACCGGTAACCTTGGGCGAGCCTTGAAGGTGAACAAATCGTAGGCGGACAAGGTCATCGCATGAGCGAGGAAGGGAACGACCGAGAGAGTGTTGGCAGCAGCAAGATTGCACAGTGACGAGTCGTGTCGAACAGAGTTGAGCAGTAATACCGGCTACAGGGCCTCAATCCGCAAAGTATGGCCTGACTGCGGTGCACGCGGTGGCGAGCAGAGCCGGACCAAATGGTCCCGTGCATTCAGACCTTTCAGGCTAGACGCGCTAAACCAAAGGATGCCCGTCGCGCCTGGCCGCTGGCGCCGGGGGGTCACCCTGAGATGGACCTGACACCTAGCCACCTGGCCAACTGGCCGATTTAGGTTCGTCTATGACGTGCCACAAGCACCTACAATCCGTTGTTGATACCGTCCGCTATCTACGATCTTCGCCGAGTCCTTCAACTTTCGGCCTTCCTCTTCCATCACACACTCCTCGAATCAATCGCTATGGCTCAGCCCGCTGCCGACTCCAACGTTGACCCTCAGGTCGCCCGCGCCCTCTACATCAAGACTGGTGTCGTCAGCCGGTGAGTAATCTCTTTCAACGACGTGCAAGCATGAGGGAACCTCATCCGCCGCTGGGAGGGCTATTTGGCTGCTGCTGAATAGCCATCACATGTTTTGCATCAGTTGCTGACTGCAGTCTCTACAAGGAGGAGCAGACGTACCGTGTCGAGAGCGCCGAGGCCAAGCAGAACGTCGAGAAGCTGAAGAAGGCCAAGGCCGACGGAGCCGACATTCGTAATGCTGTGAGTTCGCTACACGTCTCGCTTCTGGTTTCGTGCCTCTCACACGACATTGCCGCCCCAGCCAATACCCCACTCGACCGAGAACAGAGGCCCAAGCGCACAGCTGACCGTCCTGTCGGTGGCGGTGGCGGAGGCAGGGCTGAACGACAATGTATCAGCGGTGGTGGGACGCCGACGTGCCTCGGCGTCGTACCCCATGAACGCTAGAGCCAGCTCCCTTCGTTGTGCACCGCAGAGCTAACCGTCCAGGAGGCCGTCCAGAAGGACTGCGAGCAGATGGTTCCCCTCACGGTGAAGAAGCTGCAGGCCGCGTATGAGGACCTCGTGCACCTCATGAACGGACTCGAGAAGGACCCGATCGCCGAGACGCAGCAGTGGGCCGACGCGAAGAATGTCCTCCAGATCGTCATGAACCACTGGCAGTCCATTGGTGGTCCTTAGGTCCGTCCTGCTCCGGGTGCTGCAAGTTGCTCCGCCAGCACGCTCACAGCGACGTTCGGACTAATTCGATGTTTACAAGCGGTATAAATAGCAAAGCCTTATCTACATGTATAGAAGTTAATCCGTGTACTCCGAGTCGGGTGCAACAGGAGCTCGTCGTCGACCTGACGTCATGGATCTGCAGTGTGAGCATGCGTGCTCTGTACTGCCATCGTTGCAAGTTGCAATAATGATAACATTCCGATCAGATTACGATCGGACTGTTGGCCCGTTGTCGGCCGATATCTACAGAGATGACTTCCTTCGTCTACTTCTTGCCTCCCTTCTTCTTCTCAATACGGCCGAGGAGATGCTTCCTCAGCGAGTCCTTGCACACGGAGCAGAAGGAGGGATAGTTGACCTTGCGCATGATGCACTCCTCGTTCGTAGGCCGGAGCGTGATGTTGCCATTCTCCCACACAGTGGGGAACGCACCGACGAATCCCTCCTGTTTGACAAAGCTGCGGCCATACTCAATGATCTCGACACTCGTCACCATCTTGCCGCCCTTGCCCTCCTTTGCCTCCCTGCCCTTCTGCGTAAGGCTGATCTGGAGGGACGAGTTGCCCACGGGGAGCGGCTCAGTGAGGAAGATCTCGACCCAGCGCCGGTCGAGACTGTCCTTCATCTCGGGGAGGAAGCCGGGGGCGAGGTCAATGTTCTCCCCGTTCAGGGTGACGTTGATGTGGTCCGGCTGCGCAATCGAGCTCAGCGAAAGGCGGAGCATGCTGTTATCGTAGGCGTCGGAGCAGCTCTTGTTGTTCGCCGAGGAGGGCGTGCCGGACCAGGACGTGTTGAGATTGTGCCACGCATAGTTCTGGATCGCGACGTGCGCATCCTGAATGACCGGGTTTGGCTCGCTCAGGTGGTCGGCCCACTTGATCTTGCCCACGTTCTCGACGAGGTCGCTGTTGTCCCCGCTGTAGACGTAGCCGCCGTCGTACTCCTCGCCTACTTCGATGAGAGAGTGGCCGAGTTCATGTCGCGCAACCACGACGCCGTTGGCCTTGGAGCTCGTCGTGATCGTAAACTCGCCGCCGAGACCGCCGTACAGCTCGTCGTTGCCCAGGATCACGGCCTGGTCGCACGCGTCCTTGTCCTTGCTCCACTGCTGGCAGGCCGCTCTCGCGCGCTTAGGGTAGCCGGGCATGACGGCGCGCAGAGTCGCGCCTTCGCGGTACAAGCCGAAGGGACTGCCTGGGAGCGGGCCGTCGTGGCCCAGTCCGCTCTTCTCAGATTCGACCCATACGCCGTAGACGTTGACGAGGTCAGCGACGTGCGCCATTGCGCCGCTCTCGCCAACAATGTCGTCGGTAAGTGTTTTGATGTCGGCAAGGAACTTGTCCTTCTCATCTGACGTATCTGAAGTCAGCCGCAGCTACGTATCACACTTACAGCCGTCAGCGAAGATGGCGAGGTTGACGCGGTCCCCGTTCTCGCCCTGGACAGCAAGTGGGATCAGCTCCATGCCCTCTGGGGCCTTGCCGTCGTCCCCGTTGGCGCGCGCATCGAACTCGCTGAACCACCGGTGCGGCACAGAAGGTCCGAGGTGGTCGGAACCGTGCACACCGTGGCTGAACACGACCTGGTTCGCGAGTGCTAGGGTACCGAATAGAAGAAGCATGCTGGCTGCTGTGAGCCTCCGAGGTGCTGCCATGGTGTTTATATGCCAGCCGAGTTGCGCTAGTGCGAGGGAAGAGATGGACTGGGGCGTGGGATCGCGCAATGTCCTGGTTACGCTTTCACACCAGGCAACAAGGTTGGGGCCTTGGAGTTGCGCTCTCACCGACTGCTATCGGAGCGATCGGCGCATTGAGCGATGCAGCATGTGGATGACGGATATGGCGGTGTGGACAGACTCGGACTAGTCCCTGTCCGGTCACACGTCGGCGCTGGCCGAACTAAGCGACCGAACACTCCCTTGCCGCTCAGCTGACAACACCCACGTGCTGCTAGTATCTCTAATCGTGCATAACTACAAAACTAAATGGCCGACATGACAAGGTTGACGGCCTCTTCCTTTTCGGCTCGAACGGCCAGCTCGAGCGTGACGCCCTCTCCTGGTGAGAAGGTCATGCGACACCTCGCGAGGACCTTGCCACCTCCGCCGCACACCAGTCCGCTCATATTAAGGGTGTGCACACTGCTCGACGTCGGCTGCTCCGTTCCTCCGAGCGGCTCCATGTTGAGCACCTCAACCAAGCTCTTGACAGCATCGCGCAGGCTCTCACTCGACGACAGCGCAAACGTCTCCGTGATGCTCGGGCCGTTGGCGAGCTTGTCCCACTCGGACGAAAAGGTCGCGTATGTCGGCGTGATGTAGTCGCCAGCACCGAGCTCGACGTCCTCAACCTGGTACTCGTCGTCGTATCCCTCCTCCTCGGGCTCGCCAGACGAAGGGTCAACCTCCTTGCTGATGAACTTGAGCGTGCACGAGTAGGCGCCCGTGGCGTACTCTGACGGGTCATCCCGCGTGAAGGAGACGTACACGGCACCGGCGCCGGTCTGGGTGGTGAGGCTGGGAACGGGGATGATAAAGTCCTCGGTAAGACCGGACTCCTCGGCGGGGACGAGGATGACGGAGACCTGCTCGAGGACAGTGTCGGGGATGGTGTTGGAGACGTTGAACTGGAATACGACGTGCTCCTTGAAGATGTGCTTGACGACGGTGACAGCGTACTCGGTCTCGTCCTCAGTGAGAGGAATAGGCTTGGATGACGACTTGAGCACCTGGCCGTAGCTGGCAAGCTCGGGAATCTCGGCGAGCTGAGCAGCGTACGCCGACTGAGCCTCGGCGGCAGAGACGGGCGCCGGCGACTCGCTCTTCTGGGGAGCAGCAGAGGTGTCGGCGATGGTAGCGAGGGCAGAGGGACGAGCAGAAGCGACCTCGGCAGCGGCCTGCTCGCGGCTGACCTTGGGGACCGAGGAAGCATCGAACGCCTCACCGTGCTTGCTCTCATCGTTGATGTACGAAACCAGCTGGCTCTCAAGCTGAGCGAGCGAAAAGGTCGCTTCGTCACGGACGTAGGTGTCGGCGAGCTTCTTGTCGTCGAGCACCTTCAGGTACATGGCGGCACGATCCCTCACTTCGTCGTCAACATCGTCGAGACATCTTCGGAGCAGGACGTCGATGCTCTTCGTGACGTGCTCATCGTCGACCGAGGCGCCAAACTTGGCGAGGGCCGAGACAGCGGCGGCACGAACGACCGCGTTCTCAAGAACGACACGGTTGTAGATGTAACGAATGTACTTGGTGGGGTTGCGGGTCTTGGGGCCCTCGATACCAAGAAGGTGGAGAATGCGGACAGAGAGCTTGGTAAACTCGCAGTCCTCGATGAACTCGCAGAGGTGGGCGAGAGCAGCCTCGCGCGAGTCCTGGATGTACTTGATCATGTCAAAGATGGCCTCGACGACGGCGTGCTTGAACTCGTAGCCGCCCTCGTCGCGGAGGACGCCAGACAGGAACGTGAGCATGACACCCTGCTTGGCCGGGAACTTGAGGCAGAGCGATCGGATAGCGTCAACCACGATGACCTTGAATTCATCCGTAATGTCGGTCATAAACGAGGAGATCTGCTTCATCAGGCGGTCGACCGAAGCCTCGTTTCCGGTCTTGAGGAGGGTGGTGATGGCGTATGTGGCGATGCTGCGGTTCGAGTCGGTAATCAGGTTCTCCATGTCGAGGTTGCAAGAGGCAACGGCGTTGGGGTGCGTCTGAGCGAGCTTGCTAAGCGTCTTGACAGCGGCAAACTTGAGGACAGCCTTGGGCGACGACAGGAAGAGCTGGAGCACGGCGACCGGGCGGTAGAGGTCCTGGTCGGTGACACCACGCATCTCACAGATGGCACGGGCCGCCTCAATGTTGACCATGTCCGACTTGTGACGGAGCAGGCCCTCGAGGTACTCGTGCATCTGCTTCTGAACGTTGGGGTCCTCGTCCATGACCTTGCGAGCGAAGCGGATCAGCATACAGATGGCCATCGGGTTGCGGACAACGGTAGCCTGCTTGCCGGCGCCAAACTGCTGAACCATCTTCGTCACGGCCATACGGTCCTTCTCGCGGATCAGGTAGAGCAGACCAAGGGCGTGGTACTGCATGATGTAGCTGGAGCTCGAAACGGACTGATAGCCGTTAGAGCCACCGCCAGAGATGTAAGCCGCGGCGGACGAGGCCGAGTATGACGAAGACGAGACGGCCTTGGCGTTGACGGCCTCCTGAGTCTCGTTCGACCAGCGCTTGATAATCGCACTGGCAATCGGGAACAGGTGGTAGGACGAGACGAGGGAAGCAGAGGAGACGGGAGGGGAGCGGTCGACGAGGGCAGACTTGAAGAAGCGCTCGACGGACTGAACGCTCTGCGCGTCGATGATGCGGGCAAGAGCACGGATAGCGTTCGGGCGGTAGACGACCTCGAGGTTGGGCTGCATGTCCTTCATGATCGAAGACGTAACCATGATCACGTCCTCGGCCACAGTGGACAGCTCCTTGATCACAAGGTAGACCATCTGCCTGAGCGCGGCATCTTTGTTCTGGAAGAGCTTCGTGACGCCGAAGAACAGGGTCGTAGCCTCATGCGTGTTGAAGGTCTCTCCGACGTAGAGCAGGTAGACGATTCGGGTCAATAATGCGCGGCACTTGCGGGGCGAAATGGGCGACTCGTTGAATACGCGCGCCTCCTGGAGCACCGTCGACTTGTCTTGCAAGAACGCTGAAGATTAGCTGATGAACGAAGTACTGGGAGCTACTTACACATGCCGCCAGAATCCTCGTCCTTCTTGAAGGACATGGTGCCGGTCGTGCTCTAGGCAGTTGTAGGTAGCTAGAGGTTCAACAGCGACAGACGTCAGAACACGGCTCGTAGAGACAGCGACAGCGCGACGTTCCGTGCTGGCAACGCGATGATGCGGGAGCATTGCCACGGGAAGCCCGCGTGGCCGGCGTTAAGGGCCGAAAAGGGACGTGTGGCGCAGGGACCACTAGCGATGCTTTCATAACGTCGTGTTTAGTCAAGAGACTATGCATGCATGCAGACTCCAAGCTCTGCCTGCGAGACGCAAGCAGAGGCATCGAAAACGGGAAGCATTGCATTTCATCGGTGTGATCGATTGCTAGACGGAAGCTACGGAATGGTGTACACGAGCTTCTCACCGCTGATCGGTTTCATGTAGTCTTCCTTGCGATCGATGTTGGCGCGCTCTGACACCCACTGCGGGCCGAGGAGCACAAAGCCGTCTTCCGTGACCTTCTCCAGACCGCCAGGCATCCGTCTGATGGGATTCGCTTTCAAAGCATGCGTCTCCGACAGCCATTCATAGAATTTGGTCGCGAACTCGCGTTTCTTCGGGTCGGCCGGGATCTGCAGGGCTGCCTGTCAGTTACAGCTGCGGAGCCACAACTCACGTCCATAGTCCACGTCCTCGCCGAGTCCCTCCCATACGGCTCCGTACACGGGCTCGTGCTTAAACTCGCCCTTCGGGAAACGGAACACGACGAGCTTGCCGTCATCTGCCAGGATACGGTCGAGGCTCTTCGTCGAGTCGCCCTCGGTGATCGCGTCAAAGGCGTAGTCTACCGGCCCGAGAGCCGCAATCTGCTCCGCCCAGTCATTGTCGCGGTAGTCGAAGAGGTAATCGTAGCCAAACTCACGGCGCAGAAAGTCGTGCTTCCCTTTGCTTGCTACGCCGATAAGCGTGACGGCCGGATCGAGCGCTCGGGCAAGCTGCGCGGCGTACATGGCCAGACTTGTTGAGGCGCCGTAGATCACATACGTCTTGCCTGCCGTATCGGTGGGCTGGGGAGAGAAGGGAAGCGACAGACCCTGCCTATCCAATCCCTGCGCGGCAGTCAGGCCACACATGCTGATCGTTGCGGCTTCCTCGTGAGGAAGGTCACCGATGGACCACACCAGGTCCCACGGGATCGCAAGAAACTCCGTGAAGGCGCCCGTCTTGAAGTTGACGGAGCAGGCTGGGGTCAGCTGTGTCGGTAGAGTCGTGCCTACCTCCTTGCAAGAAGCCAGAGACGCGGGTTCCCGGCTTCGTCCGTGAATCGGGGTTGGAAGCCAGGTCATCCGCTGCGGCGACGACATCGCCCGCAAAGTCTGTACCGATCACACGCTCCTGCTCAGCGATAGGATGCTCGACATACAGCGAGTCAATAGGGTTGAGTGCGATCGCTTTCACTTTGACGAGCACCTCTCCCGGCTTCAGTTCCGGAATCGGCAGGCTTCTCAGCGTGACCGACTTGGTTTCCGGGGTCAAAACGAGGGCGCGGCGGGTGGTGGGAATGCTCATTGTGGTGGTTCAGGAATGTGTTCGTGAGGTTTCAGCGGACCCCATGGGCGTGCAGAGACTTATGTACCCCATGCCTTTGAGTCTCATGGTGTTGAAGCGGGCCGGTCCGGAGCAACATGGATCAGTCATCATGTCACCTGCTCCCTCCACTACCGTCTTTGTCAGCGATCACCTTCGCGTACCTGAAACAGTCAGGCACGATCTCCAATCAATGGTCCAGAGTCATGCCCCACGCCGATACCGATAGAGTCTGCACATGCAGATAGTGCACGCCAAGATGACGAGGGATGGGGCCAGGCTGCCCGGCAATCACCGGAACATGGGTCGTAAAAGTACATGTCTCGTTATCACATCATCGGTCTAGACTATCAGTACATGCCCCTGACGCGGCCAGAGCCCTTGAGCGGGCCGACCTTGACCCAGTGCACTGCGCCTCCTCCCTCGGTCGATTCTCCTCCCTCTCCACTCTGCACGCCCTTGGCAATAGCTTCACGGGCGGTGCGCACGACGCCGCGGGACTCGAAGGCGGAGATCTCCTCGCTCTGCGTGCCGACCGTGACGTGCAGGTTGATCTCAACTTCCTCGGGCAGAACGAGGGCGGCGCCCTTTTCGCGGTCCGAGGTCTCCTGGGGACGGAGGTTGCCGACCACGAGCGCCATGGTGCGGTCGTCCCACGCGAGGTGGGTCACGTCAAAGTCGTAGAACGGAGAGATACGCGCCTCAGCCAGCGCAGTGCACGTCTCCCAGGCAATCTGCTGGGGACCAGGCGCGGCGCCCTCCTCTGCCGCCTCCTTCTCGGCCGCGACGTTCTTGTTATGCGACAGTGTGATGTGAGGGCGCTGAGTGACGCGGCCCTTCTCGCGAAGCGAGGTCATGAACTTGGTTGCCGACTCGGAGGCAGCTGGCGCCATGGGAGTCTGCAGGGCGTCGTCGACGACGGCGTTGATGTCGATCTCGGGGGCGAGACCAAAGTAGCGTACGGCCTTGCCGACACGTGCCGGGGCATGGTAGGGGGTTGTGACCTTGTAGTCCGAGACGGCGGCCAGGGCGCCGTCGATGTCTCCCTCGGAGGGACGGGGAAGGTCGAGGATCTTCACGAGAGAGTCGACGACCTTGCCGAGCGCGGCTCGAGGCGTGTCCTCGACGTCCACAACAATCTGCTCATCATAGTACAGGGGGTTGGGTGTCGTGAAGTTGTGCAAGAAGTTGGCGACCACAGCCTCATGCTCCGCCTCGACTGTCAGGTCGGGGCGCAGAGTCTGGTGGTTTTCGCCGCGGTTCACAACGCGCTCCGAGCATAAGCGGAGCAGCTTGTGGAACGGATTGTCGTCAATGTTCCAGGTGACAAAGATGTACTTGACATGATAGGGCTTGAGCGTCTTGGCAAACGTCTTTTCGTCCGCCAGTCCCGACAGCTCGATGTAGTGCTTGTCAATGTGGTTGTTACGGTCGGCATAGACGACGTGGTTTGTCTTCAGCAGCTCGACAATGTTCCTCTTGAAGGTTGGAGCAGTCTTCTTGCTGAGAATGTCGTCGGACTGGGTGTGAGCGAAGCCGAAGAGCTTCCCAAGAGCCAGTCCGAGCGTGGTCTTGCCGCATCCTGGGACGGCAACGGGGACGACGACCCACTTCTTGGGAAGCGACTCTCGCTCCGCTTCCCGAGCAGCCTTGCTCGCCTCGGCAGCCTTGTCCATCCCAGCCTTCCACTCTCCAGCCTGGGCAAGATCCCAGGTCTTCTTGCCGTCTCCTTCGATCCACTTGAGGAAGCGCTCACGAACCCGAACTACTCCCCTCTCGTAGTTGGCGAAGAGGGAAGGCTCCTCCTTCATCATGTCGGCGCACCACTCAGCGTAAACGCCCACTTCCGGCCGGCGAGTTTTCGCCTTCACCTTCTTCCAAATCTCGGCCTCCTTCACTGGGGTGATCTTCTTGTCCATAAGAGGCAGCATGGCACGCGTTGTTTCTCGGAACTGGCGATAGAGAAGGTACGGCTCTTCAAACTTGATCTTGAAGAAGAAGGGCGCGCCGGGCCTGTACGGGGGCTTGCTGCTCTCGTGTCCCTCGACTTCCTTGACAGTAGAGCGAACGACGAAACCCTCGATCATGTCTCCCTGCCACGAGCCGGTCTCTGCCACCTCGTTGGCAAACTTGCGCACCTCCGCGACAGAGTTCAGAGTGACATGCTTGGTCGGAATGAAGCCAAACTCGTTGGCAAAAGCAGTGACGTCCTCGGGCGATTTCGTGCTGAAATGCGGCTGGTTGTAATTCAATCCGTGGAGGTGAAGACCTGTCCAGTATTCTGGCGTCGCGATAACGTGCTCCTCAAACGAATCATCGCAGAGCTCCAGCACGGCCGTAAGATTCTCATCCCAAAGCCTCTGCGCCAACTCCTCGCACGTCTTTCCGCTCTTCTTGAGGGTGCGGGCAACCCATTCGCGACCGACTTCGGCGTGTGCACGTGCCGACGACTCGTCCTTGGCTTCCTCGGTCTTCTTGTCATCGAGTTTTGTGTCTTTCAGGCTCTGAGTGACATCCGCGACCGTAGTGGCTTCCTCGGTCGTCGTTCCCAGGGAGTGTTTAGAAGCCACAACAAGATGCGTCGGTGACAGGGCAGAGATCATGATGAGACAACCGTTCGACTTCAGCGTTAGGTGGTACGGGGCCTGGGTATGCTTCTCGATTGCGTCCCACTGCCGTCAGTGCCTATTCGCAACCCGATCACTCACCGTCGTCCAAGTCATCTCGTCAATGTTGAAGAATTTGTCGTATCCTCGTGCAACGATACGCTCCGCGTACTCGTCTCCGAGAGTCTCGAGAGCTGCCTCCGGCACGGCCCCAGGCTGCACCTCTTCGGTGAACAGACCTCGCGCGAGGGTAGGAAAGCCGTTGTCTTTCCGGAAGTACATGTGCTCAGTCATCTTCCAGCTGGTTAGCCTCCTGTCGGACTGCGAGGGATCATTCGGGGCGTAGAGCCTGGCGGGATAGATGTGGATATTAGACCTCGTCGCTTTCGGGTTGTTCCTCCTCAGCGCGCGGAGAGCGTCGAGGAGATCGGGGACGGCAGCCGGATAGGGATCCATGACCGTCGAAGACGAGCTTGAGGCCGTCATTGGTGGTGGCAAATGCAAGTGGGTATATGTAAGTGTTGCAAGTCGCCCGATTATTATCGATCACCGCCGAGTCGACACTCGATTGCTCCTGAGTCAGAAATCTGAACTTTTGCGGCAGGGATCCGGGGACTACGGGGTAAAGTCTCCCACGGCCGACGTGACGGTTGTCTCACCCTCTGTGACGCACTACTGGGTAGGCTTGCGCCGCACGATTTAGGCCACTAACAGCTTGTATTGATGGGATTAGGAATGCGAAGCGACGTCGTAATCGAGAGATAGGATTGGTGCCAGGCACAGATAATGGAGGGGATGACTGTGCCAAGGAGGACCCAACGGCCACGGCGGGTAGGCGAGCGGGCGTCAGTCAGTCAGTAGTGGTCGCTGATCCCACCCTCACCCTCCTCACCTCCTAGTCCGGCACTGGCACGCACCAGCACACCGCCGACACCGCAACGCATCTTGATTCCTGTCCTTCCTCGACCATCCACTCAACACCTTTCGAGAGAGCGAGCGACACTAGACTCCGCCCACTCCCTCCGCCTTCCCCCCTTTTCCTCTTTCCTCCTTCTCCTCTTCTCCCACTTTCGCTAATGCCCCCCTCGCCACCTTCCCCTCTTAACCGCACACCCCGCCTCGAGTAACTCGCACCGCTCGACACCCCCGCCCACATCGACTACGCTTAACGAGCACCCAGCCATCATCACAAGCTACTCGATGGACCGCAACAAGAATAATCAACCTTCATCATCGCAGCATCAGTCATCTTTAGCCTACCACCAAGCTCCTAGTACTAGCACCCCCACTGCACAGACCGCACCAGTTTCTTATCACTCCAACACTGTAACTAGCCCCCCCTCTGTCCCCAACGCCCCAGTGTCCAACGAAAGCACGGCCAGTGCGAACGTCCGTATCACCCGCGCACAGCACAGGCAAGCTTCATCTTCCAGCGCTGCCACCTCCGCGGAAGCACCTCCACCTGCGACTCCCACGCCAGTCCTTCCTCGTCGCTCCGCGCGTCTTTCCTCCAACTACAACCAAGCTTCACCCGAGCAGCAGTCGACGCCTTCTAGCAAGGGTAAAGCTGATCCTTCTTCCTCCTCTAGTAAGCGGTGAGTCTTCCTACCATTCCGCAAACTGATATCAGCACCCGTTCCTCTGCACCGGAAGCGTCCTCCTTATCCGCCGACCGCAAGGGCAAGAAACGAGCCACCCGAGAACCTACACCTCCACGCTCCGACCCGGCGGAGGACGCTGAACCGGCCCCCAAGCGTTCCAAGAAGAGCCCAGCGAAGCGCGGCAAGGGCAAGGCTAAAGCGACCCCGAAGCCAAAGATGCCCAAGAAGACTGCGTAAGTCCAGAGCGATTCGGGCGCTGACAGATCAGACCCAAGACCAAGAAGGGTCCTGCTACGAGCGGAAAGAAGGGCGACACTTCAGCCCGCCAGCTAATCGACGACAATATGGACGAGGACGAGCACCACTGGGGCGAGTCTACGTCCGCTTTCCTCGACGATGAGCATTACCGCGAGGATGAGGACATGGACGAGTCAGACCACGACGAGGACGAGGAAGACGACGACGATGAAGACGAGCACCGCGGGTCATCGGCGTACGATCGCTTGGCTCGCCTGGCAGATGGCGCCATGTTTGACGAGGCTACGGCTGCCGCCCTGTTCGGTGGCGAATACCGCGCATTCGGCGGGTTCATGTCTGGCCTGTCTAGCAGGTTCAAGCGTCTCAAGGAGAATCTTCGCTCATCAAAGACCTCTAAGCGTCTCGCCGCCCTTCGAGAGTGCAGTGATCTGCTCCTGGTCTCAAACGAGGACACGCTCGGTGCCTCTTTCTCGACTTCTGCGTTTGCCACCGAGTTCATTGCAATTTTGAGCGGAAAGCCCAACATTGATTCCCAGCGTGACGGTGACGAGCAGATGGGGGAGTCTGACGAGATGGATGAGGACGCTCAGCTCGCTGCTGCCCTCGCGATGAGCGCAGGCGATGCCTTCCCAGAGGGCGGATCAGGAAGACATGGAGTGCCAGCTGTTGGCCTGCCGCTGTCTGGCTCACCTCATGGAGGCGTTGCCTGGCTCTGGGCACACGCTGGTCCACCTCGGTGCTGTGCCCGTTCTGTGCTCCAAGCTGAACGAAATTTCGTACATTGAGCTCGCGGAGCAGACGCTCAGCGTAAGTGTCTTCTTATAACGGTGCTGACATATAGACCATGGAGAAGATCTCAGCCGAGTATCCAGCCGCCATCGTCCGCGAGGGCGGCCTGGCTGCACTGCTCAACTTCCTTCCCTTCTTCTCCACCAATGTTCAGCGTACCGCTGTCACGACGGCCGCCAACTGTTGTCGCAACATCTCTGGAGAGCACTTTGCCATGATTCGCGACGTCTTCCCCATCCTGAGGGAGGTCCTCACGCAGACCGATCAGCGTCTCGTGGAGCAAGCCACTTTGGCTGTTTTGCGCACGCTGGAGTCTTACCGCCACAATGCTGAGCACCTCGAAGGTCTGCTCGACCTGCCCACAGTTGTGGCAATCAACGCCCTCTTGATGCCTGCTGGTGGCTCGCCGATCATCTCCGACTCCACCTACACTCATCTCTTGAAGGCTCTGACCTCGGCCGCTCGCGCTTCTGCCAAGGTAACCATCGCTCTCCTCGAAGCCGGCATGACGGATACCGTGCACTACATCCTCACCGGTGTCCTTCCGGCCGCCAACGAGCAGGAGGAGCAAGGAGACGCTCCTGGTGGCCAGGGTCTCGGTGGTGGTGTCGCGGATATGGCTGTTATGCAGAACCTCGCTCATCGGCCCAAGGATCAGATCGAGGAGGCCCTCGGACTGGTTTGTGAGCTGCTGCCGCCCCTCCCCCGTGACGGCGTCTTCGACCACCGCGCCTATTCCGAGAAGAGCCTCGCCAAGCTCCAACGGCGTTCCCGCCCGTCTTCATCCCGTCGGTCAAGCAGCCGCGCCGAGGGTGGATCAGGCAGCCCGGGCGAGCCGGCCGAGGCATCTTCTGTGCCTGTCCTGGGCTCATACCCTCCTGGAAAGTCCAGGCGAGATGTTGAGGCTCTTAACGAGCAGCGCTTGACCCTCCTCAAGTCCCAGCCCGAGCTGGTGTCAAAGTTCATGCGTTGTCTAATGCCCGTCTTGGTCGACGTCTACGCTGCGTCCGTTTCGCTCCGTGTGCGCACAAAGGCTCTGACTGGCTTGACCAAGGCTACAGCATTTGCCGAGCCAGGCGATCTGAAGCAGACGCTTACCAACGTCCCCATGTCGAGCTTCCTGGGTTCGATCATCTCGTCCAAGGACAACCCGACATTCGTCCTTCACGCTCTGCAGCTGGTCGAGCTCTTGGCAGGCAAGCTCCCGGACGTCTACCTCACCTCGTTCCATCGCGAGGGCGTCGTGTTCGAAATCGAGTCGCTGGCTGAAGCCGACCTGAGCACGAAGGTGAAGGAGGAGCGCGAGGAGGCCAAGGCCAAGGAGGAGGCGAAGGAAGGCAACCTCGAGGACAGCCCAACTACGCCCAGGGCGGGCCAGGCGCAAGAGTCTCCGACCAAGTCTAATGTCGGCGAGTTATCGGGCGTTTTAGCCAACTTGATCAGCAGCCAAACCTCGGCTTCCCATCGCATCCGCTCTTCTTCCGTGGTGGACCCCAACGACGCCAACATTTTGCGCGCTCGCGTTATCGGCGCGAAGCGCATCTTTGCCGTCGATGACACCCAGCAGAACGAGGCGTCGTTGGTCCTGGAGGAGCTGACCAAGCTGGTCGAGCGGCTGTGCCATCCTGAGGCTACCGAGCCGGAACTCCGAGACACTCTTAGGGAGATTGCAGCTCAGTTCTCCAATGTCGGGCAGGCGCTCTCTTCATTCGAGCTGCTGAAGAGCGGCCTTGTTGATGGCCTCCTCGAGTATGTCGACATTGATGGCACCGTGCCGTCCTCGGCCCGTCGCGACATTCTCTTCGAGATCTTCTCCGACACTGCTGTGGCCTCGCCTTCCCCGCTGGTCATGCTTGTGAAGCGACTGCACGAGTCCCTCGGCCGACTGGAGAACCTCGAGGTTGAGACCGCTTTCAACGGAATGGGCACTGGAAGCTCGTCGCTTGCTCGATCTATGCGTATCCGCCTCCAGGCCGAGGAAGGCGAGGATATCCCGAAGCAAATGAGCGCGCTGAGTGTCACCATTCAGGCCATCGCTCCTGTTCAGGCCCTCCACGACTACCTGCGTCCGAGGGTCGCGGACCCCAACTATCTCAGCGGCAACTCGGCCCTTCAGAACATGTTTGCTGCTTACGCCGCTAGTAGGGGCGGAGGCGGCGGATCCACGTCTAGGCTGCTTGCTGCCCTGGCCGCTGGTTCACGGGGCGTGGGTGCTCCTCCGGGGACGCGAGACGAGCCGTCTTCCAGCACTCAGCCGCCGCAGTCACAGCAGCAACAGTCGTCCGAGAGCAAGGAGACGAAGGAGGATGCCAAGCCCCAACGCCGTCGCAGCGCCCGCCTGAGTGGCTTGCCACCTGACGCCGAAAGCACTGCGGCTGACGCCGGCACTGGGGAAGCCGCCGCTGGTCCTTCCTCAGGTGCCGCCGCTTCCTCTGAGCCCGCTGTCCTCCCTCAGATGCCCGTGAGCATGGACTTTGACGACGACTATTCTGAAGACGAGTACGACGCCGAGGTCTTTGAGGAAGACATGGAGGAAGAGCTCGAGCGGCCAACTGAAAAGGTCGTCAACATGTCTATGGCCCCGGACGGCTCTCGCGTCGAGGCTCAAACGCCCGATGGCACTCGTATTGCTACGCCCAACCAGGCTGCGTCCTCCAGCGCCAACGCGGGTTCAAGCAGCACGCCTTCGCGCAGCTCTTACGCCGGGGCCGTTAAGACCGCTCCCGTCGACTGGCACCTCGAGTTTTCGATCAACGGCCAAGTTCTCTCTTTAGAGGACACTGTCTACGGTGCCGTTCACAAGTATGCCAAGTCTTCATCATCTCCCCTGAGCGCTTTCAACGTCCCGGTCACCTTCAAGTTCCGCAAGGTCGAGGGACCCGCTTCGGCCAAGGCGCCGGTGGACGCTCCATCGCCGGCGTCCATCTCTAGTACCCTGCCTCCCGTTCTCGACCCGGCGGCTCCCGTGTCGAAGATTCTGCGCCTTCTTCGCGTTGTCCACACGTTGTGCGTCGAGGGACGGGACACCTTGATGCGCGTCGACGTGCCGGACGAGTCTCTCTTTGTCAACAACAAGTTGACTGCAAAGCTCGTCCGACAGCTGGAGGAGACGATGATTCTGGCGAGCAACTGTCTCCCTGAATGGGCAGTCGAGCTTCCAAAGCACTTCTCCTTCTTATTCCCCTTCGAGACTCGCTACTCCTTCCTTCGCTCTACGTCGTTCGGGTACGGTCGCCTGATTGCCCACTGGCAGGCGTCCCAACCCCGCAGCAACAGCAACAGTCGTCGTGACGACAATCTCGCGCATCTCGGCCGCCTTGTGCGCCAAAAGGTGCGAATCTCCCGTGCGCAGCTGCTTGAGTCGTGCGTAAAGGTCCTCGAGCTGTACGGAACGTCAAACGGCATCCTTGAAGTCGAGTACTTTGACGAGATCGGAACCGGCCTTGGACCCACCCTCGAGTTTTATTCCCTCGCCTCGAAGGAGTTTTCTCGTCGTTCGCTGCACATGTGGCGCGACGAAGACACTTCCAAGGAAGGTCCCTACGTCTTTGCGCCCAACGGGCTCTTCCCAGCGCCGACCTCGGAGAAGATTAAGAATGCTCCTAGCTCCAAGCACTCGTACTTCAAGACACTGGGCCTGTTCATTGGTCGCGCTCTGCTCGACTCGCGCATCATCGACGTCAACTTGAACAAGGTCTTCCTGAAGCTGCTCCTTGGCAAGCCCGTTCGCAAGAACATTGCTACCTTGAAGCAGGTCGACGAGACCTTGGCTCGTTCTCTCGAGCGCCTCCAGACGTACCTTCAGGCTCGCCAGGAGATCGAGTGCCTCACGGCGCTTCCGGCTTCGTCTCGCAGGAACAAGCTTTCCGCGCTGACCATCGGGGGAGCCAAACTTCAAGACCTGTCGCTGGACTTTACTCTTCCTGGGTACGACATTGAGCTCAAGCCGGGTGGTCGCATGATTGACGTGGATGACTCCAATCTCGAAGAGTACCTCGAGCTCGTTCTCGACAAGACCCTCGGTTCCGGCATTGCTGAGCAGGTCAAGGAGCTCCAAGTCGGGTTCTCCATGATCTTCCCCATCAACGACCTCGGCATCTTCTCGCCCGAGGAGCTTGCTCTTCTTTGCGGCAACACGGATGAGGACTGGTCAAAGGAGACTCTGGAGCAGACCATCAAGGCTGACCACGGCTACAACGCTGACAGCCGATCGATTCGCAACCTCATCGAGATTCTGTCTGCGTTTGACAGCTCTGAGCGCCGCGAGTTCCTCCAGTTCATGACCGGCTCTCCAAAGCTGCCCATTGGAGGCTGGCGCTCGCTCAACCCTCCGTTCACTGTTGTGCGCAAGCCGCACGAGCCGCCCATCAAGGCGGACTCGATGCTGCCTTCCGTCATGACGTGTGCCCAGTACCTCAAGCTTCCTGACTACTCGTCAAAGGAGGTCCTCGCCACGCAGCTCTGGCGCGCCATCCGCGACGGCAGCGGGTCGTTCCACCTCTCATAGACGTTGTTTCCCACACACTTCACCTCCGTATGTATCCAGTCTCGCATGCCATGTCATCCTGTGCACAAAAGAGTTTGACGGAGTGGAGGTCAGAGATGCATCACGTGATGCAATAACAATGTCGACGCGTCTTGAAGTGCCAGCTCAGCACCGTTCCGTTCGGCACCATCGCATCACGACATGAGACTGGTCAGGCTTCTGATCGCTGCAGCGGTCCTTGGCTCCCATGCCATTGCGTCAGTAGCTGCGGACGAGTCCGCGGTCGCCGACGCAGCTTCGGCCTCTGCTGCGGACACACCCGTTTCGAACTCTGACGGTGTAGAGACGTTCCACTACGAGGTACGCATGGAACTTTCCCGCCAGTGTGACTGACGTCCAGAGTGACATTGCTCGTCTCCGCTCGCTCGTTATCCACTCTCTTTACACGCAAAAGGAGGTCTTCCTCCGCGAGCTGCTCAGCAACGCGAACGATGCCCTCGAGAAGCTGCGCATCACGGCGCTCACGGAACCCGACGTCATGTCGTCCGGCGAGGGCAATGTGACGATCAAGGTCGATCTGGACGAGGGCGGCAAGACGGGCACGCTCACCATACGTGATACCGGCATCGGCATGACAAAGTCTGAACTCTCCAAGAATCTCGGCACGATTGCGCGTTCAGGCACCAACGAGTTCCTCAAGCTCGCCGAGGAGTCGAAGGGCTCCGAGGGCAACCTCATCGGCCAGTTTGGTCTGGGCTTCTACAGTGCGTTCTTGGTCTCGCCCGAGGTCAAGGTCAGCTCGCTGCCGCCTGCGACCAAGGAGAACCCGCACCCCGTTCAGCACACGTTCGTCTCGTCCGCTACCGGCGACACATTCGAGGTCTACCCCGACCCGCGCGGCAACACGCTCGGCCGCGGTACCGAGATCGTTCTGACCATTGGCGAGGAGGACAAAAAGTTCCTGTCCATGAAGTATCTCCGAAGTCTCGTCGACAAGCACTCGCTGTTCTCGACGCCGTTCCCGATCTACCTATACGAGAGGCAGCGGCCGAAGAACGCTGTCGGCGAGGAGGCGGAGAAGCCCGAGTTCCTCTGGGTCCAGGTCAACGACAAGGAGCCCATCTGGACGCGGGACCCCAAGACAGTTCCGGAGAAGGACTACATCGACTTTTTTAAGGCGATCAACGAGGACAAGACGGTGAACCCGCTCGGCTGGAGCCACTTTTCGGGCGACACGGCGTCGGGCATCTCTTACAAGGCACTCATGTACATTCCTGACTCGCTGCCAAAGGACTGGTGGACGCAGATCCGCAACGGCATCAACAACGTGCGCCTCATGGTGAAGCGCGTGTTCATCACCGACGACCTCGGACAGCAGTTCATGCCCCGCTGGCTCTCCTTTGTCAAGATTACGGTCGACGCGGATGACCTGCCGCTGAACGTGTCGCGCGAGAACCTGCAGAACACGCGCTTCCTGTCGCAGCTGCAGCGCATCCTGGTGCGCAAGGCGCTGGACCTCTTCACTCGGATCGCCGAGGAGGAGCCCGAAAAGTTCAAGACGGTGACCAGGCTGTACGGCAATGCTCTGCGCATTGGCATGATTGAGGCCGACAAGGGTAAGCACAAGATTGCCAAGTTGCTGCGTTTCCAGTCGACCAAGGGCGACGACGTCTCGTTTGAGCAGTACGTCGAGAACCGCAAGGAGGGCCAGAAGCAGATCTACTATATGGCCGGTGTGGGCGAAAAGATTGACGACCTGAAAAAGTCGCCCTTCGTCGAGAAGCTCATTGCGCGCGGATACGAGGTGCTGCTGCTGAACCAGGCGGCGGACGAACCCATGATGGAGGCCCTCTCCTCCTTTGCGGGCATGAAGGCGCAGGACGTCGCGAAGAAGGGCCTCGAATACGGCGACGAGGAGCTCGACAAGGCCGAGGCCGCCGAGCTTGTTGCAGCCAAGGAGGAGTTTGAGCCCCTGACCGACTGGCTCAAGGAGCACTTCAAGGGCCAGATTGCCGAGGTCGTCATCACGAACCGCCTCGTCACGTCGCCGTGCACGATCGTCGTCGACAGTATCGGCTGGAGCGCCAACATGCAGCGCGTCATGCAGCAAAAGGCCGAGGCCGAGGGCGACCCCATGTTCGAGATGCTCAAGAACCTCCCGAAAACGATGGAGATCAACCCCAAGGCGCCTCTCATCCGCGGCCTGCTCGCGCGCGTCCAGGCCGAGCCCGAGGACCCCGAGCTGCTCGAGACCGCGCGTGTGCTCGTCGACACGACCCTCGTCCGCTCCGGCTTCGACGTGCCCGACACTGTATCCTTCTTTGAGCGTGTTGAGGCGCTCCTCCGCCGCTCGATCGCCGTCGATGCCGCCGCCAAGACACCCGAGGACGTCAAGCCTGCGCCGCCAGTTGCTGCCGAGGCCCTGGAGGAGGAATCTGTAGAAGACGAGATCCCGGACGAGGATATCGGCCAGGACGACGAGGAGCTCGAGTGGGAGCAGTTTAAGAAGCAGTACTTCCACGACGAGCTCTGATAGACTTTAGACTAGGCATACAACGCATATGCATATTTGGTTTTCGTGACTCCCCTGTTGTCTTCTACTGAACTTAGTTGCTGGATATGTTTCAGCTCAAGCCTTTGGATGCAGGCCCGCTTACATCTTAGCCTTGAGGAGGACGTCGAACGTCTTGGCCGTGCTGTCCTTGTACTCCTTGATGAGGTTTGCAAACTCCTTGAAGCGGGGGTACGACGCGTCTCCCATGAGCTGGAACAGGACGCTTTCAGAGGTGGACACCTCGGCGCCGGCGCGCGCGAGCCGGTCAAGAGCAATAGGCACCTCGGCGGCATTACAAGAAGACACCGCGTCGGCGACAACGATGGGCTTGTACTTGCTGAGCGGGATCGAGTCGAGGATCGTCTGCGTGACGCACACATGGCTCTCGATGCCGACAATGATGACGCGCTCGACCTCCTCCGTGTTCCCCGTGCCGGCGGGCCCGCCGACGCTCTCGGCCCACTTTCCACCAAGCGTGCGCAGCACCTCGGGCGTCATCATGCTGAACTTGGACTTGGGGAACACGCCCATGTTCAGGTGCTGCGGCAGCTTGTCAATCCCGAGCTCCTGGATCGTGCCGCCCAGCGCCTTCGGGTTCTGCTCCGTCGTGAGCACGCGCATGTCGAGGATCTGCGCCGCGCGGATCATCTTTTGGATGTTGCTCGACATGGCGTCGAACGCGTGGATCGCACCGCGGAAGCGGTCCTGCACGTCGCAGATGAGGAGAACGGTGCGGCGGGGGTTGATCGACATGGTGGGAGATGCGAGCCGGTGGAGACAATGAGAATACGATAGGTAGCGGGTCTGGGCTCAGCGGCGAATGCGTGAGAGTGAAGTAATCGATGGAGTGAACAAAGATGAGAAGAGTGCGATGTGGGCGTATTGTCGTGCACCCCGCGTTCCCCGCACTCAGATGCCGGTTGCCCAGGCTGGTTGCCGACAGGACTTAACCGATCCACCTTGGCTGCTGCAGGCGTGGTGGTGGGGGTAGAGTGGAGGTGGAGGCGGCGTACAGCTCCTGCTCGGGAATTGCGAGCCTCCACATTCGCTGCTGCCCCAGCGCGCCTCTCCCCTCCGCTCTGATCTGATCTTCGCAAGTTTCCCACGGTGTCGATTTTGAAACATTGCAGGCATCGTTCAAAGGATGCCTCCGCTAGTTTCACTCTTTCCCACGGTAGCTCCGTGGCAAACAATAGTGGCAGCCACCCGAGGTTGTCTCAACTGGCTACGTGATGCAAGTTGTTTGTTACGAGGCAGGGAGCCGATGCATGGGTACAATACAGAATGGTGCTCAACCTAGCCTATCAAAAGTACAAAAGAGCGAAACGAAGAAAATAGTGATGGTCGAAAGATGGACAACTAGCAAGTGCTAGCGAGCAGCTTAGGAGCGCTCACCGCGGAGACGGCGGGCGAGCTGGAGGTCCTTGGGCTGGATGGTGACGCGCTTGGCGTGGATAGCGCAGAGGTTGGTGTCCTCGAAGAGCGAGACGAGGTAAGCCTCAGAAGCCTCCTGGAGGGCGAGGACAGCAGACGACTGGAAACGGAGGTCGGTCTTGAAGTCCTGGGCGATCTCACGAACGAGACGCTGGAAGGGGAGCTTGCGGATCAGGAGCTCAGTCGACCTGTCTGTCAGCTAGAGTTCGTGGCAGTGATGGGGAACCCAATGATGGGGAGTACTCACTTCTGGTAGCGACGAATCTCACGAAGAGCGACGGTACCGGGGCGGTAACGGTGGGGCTTCTTGACACCGCCGGTGGAAGGAGCCGACTTGCGGGCAGCCTTGGTAGCGAGCTGCTTGCGGGGGGCCTTGCCTCCGGTGGACTTGCGGGCGGTCTGCTTGGTACGGGCCATTGTTGATGATGTAGTGTGAAGCGGTGAGGCTGGTAGTGATGAGAGAGAAAGCGGAGAGAGGTGTGATTTTTAGACAGAGGCTTTGCAGCAAAGTGCTTATATACAGTCCGAGAGGATGTGACGCCGAGTTGTCGATGTGTTGTGCATCACGCTCGGAGCAGGGGGTCCGGCGGTAACAATCACGGCGCTATGGTCACGGAACGATTGTGACGAAAACACCGAGAATTCGACAGGAGTGAGGATCAATGCCACTGTGATCTCAGTGATCCTTGATCTCGCTTCTGATTGGTCAGTCGGTGACCTGGCCTAGTTGTTTCACGTGAGGCGCGCTAAAGCAGCCCAGGCTGGATCAAGGCACGCATTCGTGCCTGAGTTAGCACGTGGCCATGGCCTGGGCACGCTGTTGCGTATGCGCAGATCACAGTGCGAAGCGGGCTGCCTGGCCAGTGGGCCAGCTGGATCAGACGCACGCAGAGCATTCGCAGCCTCCAGCTCCCTAGCTAGCATGATATCATCAACTATGCATGTCTACTTTGGTCTATTCTACTCGGGCTTGATGTCCTCGTCCCTGACGCGCACAGAGAGACACGTGACGCATCCTTCGAGCTTCTCGAACTCGCTGATCTCTGCCGTGGTAACGTTCAGTCCACGCTGGACCAGCATCTCGCGCGTTTTGGGCGCAGCGGCCGACATGAGCACGTCGTTCTCGCCAAGCACGACGACGGCGACGCCCTCGGGTTCCGGCACCGCGACAAAGGAGGGGAACAGCGACGTGTCGTCGACAATTGGCTCGTACCCGATGATGGTCCCGTCGGGGAGGGCGGTGATGGCGGATTCTGCTGTCAGCGAGAGCCGGAGTTGAGCAGACTGAAGATAGAGGGGTGGACTCACTCAGGTGCAGCGCCTTGGTTGTCGGGATAGCCTTGACTTCGTACCCCTCGTTGCCGACGATATCCGCGAGCTGCTTGATGCCCTCGTCGTTGGTACGGCTCGAGCGGCCGACATAAATCGTCTTGCCGACCTTGAGCACGTCGCCTCCGTCGAGCGTACCGGGCAGCTCGATCCGGTGCAGCTTGAGCCCGGGAAGACGCTCCTTGACAGTCGTCTCGACGGGGCCAATCTCCGCCTTGCGCGTCTCGGCGCCGGGGGACGCGATCACGGCCATGTCGCCAAAGACGACAATCGAGTCCTCGATGAAAACGCTGTCGGGGCACGAGTCGTCGCGCGGCACCGGGATCAGCGCCCACTCGCGCTCGGCGAAGATCTTGACATAGTTCGCCCACTGCTCTTGCGCCTTGGGGAAGGAGACATCGGAGGGCGCGGCAATGTGCGTGATCTGGCCCTGCGCGAGGGAGCTGGCGGGCGGGCGCACGAGGAGGACAGGCATGGCGAAGTCCCGTGGGTTTATGCGGAAGCGCTGGTATGTCCAAGTGTTTAGGATTGAGATGCAGTCAGGCGAGCACGTCGTCGGACCTGGTGATCGGAGGTGGGCTCGATTCGAGGATCTAAAGATGCCGCGGGGTATCCGGACTTGGCCGATATAGGACGGCCGATTAGGATTTGGTCCGAACTCTTACCGATAACCGAGCTTCGCCCTAATGAACCCTGGTGCCAGATTATGGAGCCGGTGGAGCCTTGATAACATGATGTCAGATTCACGCAGGTAACGTCTGCCTCTGTTGCTCGGTAGGTGTGAAAAAAACGGATACATGCAGTCACGATACGACCTGCTGCTCGCTGCTGATGTTGTTCTATGACAAAGTTTCGTCTCCTTGAATATCGTCTCCATGCGGTGATACACTTCTTCGTCGACCATCTTGATGAATTACGTTTTCGGTTTTCTTGGTCTGACCCATCGGTAGCCTCGGCTCGCTCACGGAACTGGACGCTCACGGCATCCAGTTCTCATCATCGCGCAGCTTGAGCCTGGGGTCGGACCACTTCCTTCGTCCCCCGGCCCGCTCGGCATCGCCGTGGACCTGCTCCGCCGCACCATTCTCGGGGGACTGGGGAAGTCACGAGGAGATCTTGCTCTGGCCAATCTTGTCGGTGGCCTCGTTCGTCTCCTTCTCCTTGGCCGCGCGAATCTTGGCCGGCAGCGTCTTGAGGCCTTGCTCGACCTGCTTCAGGTTCTGCGCGTCCGCGCTTCCGGGCAGGGGCGAGGCAGGGAGCATGCCCATGAGCGCAATGTAGTCGCGCTGGGCGTTCGTAAGAGCGGACCATGTACCGAGCTTCTCAGACGCCGACGCACGGCGCAGAAGCGCCTTCTGATACTTCGGGTCATAGTGGAGCGCGCGCGTACAGGCGTCGACAGCCTCGCGGTCACGTCCCTGCGCAACGTACACGGCACCGAGGTTGGCCCAGAGCACCTTCTTGGCGTCCCGGATCTCGTTGTCGACGTTACAACGCACGGGACCCGCCTGCTGGTCCTTCTCGATCTGCTCGGCCTCCTCGTCGTTGATCTCCACAATGCGCTCCTTTTCCGCCAGGTCCTGCAGCGTCGGCATGGGCAGGTGCTTCGGGACATTCGGGAGCTTGCCGAGCGCACGCTTGTAGTCCTCCTCTGCCGTCTTGAGAGTCGCGGCCGTATGCGGGCGGATCACGAACGCCTTGTTGCCGTCCGCCTTGAGCGCCGTCGCCTGGTCGAGCAGGTCCTGCAGCTCCGACACAGACATGGACATGCAGTCGAGCCCGCTGCCGAGCGACTTCTCGTTGTTGAGCAGGTCCTGGGAGTTAGTCAGCGGGAAACTTTGGCGTCAGGTGCACAGACGCAGACGACGTCAGAGGCACGATGAACTCACCTTGAGCTCGGGCACGGGTCCCTTGTCGACTTTCGGGGCTTCAGGCTGGGGCGTCGGCTTCGGCGCTTCAGTCTTCGGCGCCTCTTTCGGGGTCTGCTTGGGCGCCTCAGTCTGCTTTGGAATGTTGATCGGCTCGCTCTGTGCCGGGGGCTTGTCGGCCGACGGGCCGTTGTCCGTCTTCCACTGCGGCGCCTTGGCGCCGTCGGGAATCGGCTGGTCGGGAAGAGGCGTACCGCTCACCGGGGACTGGTTGGCGGTGACGGCCTCTGGGGTAGGAGTCGTGGGGGTTGTGACGCTCTCGCTGGTAGGGGTCGAGCCACCGACGCTCTGCTGCGAGCCGATGGGGCCCTCAGAGTCGACGTCCATGGCGTCCGGGTCGCGGAGGGGCTGGCTCGGGGGCTGAGCAGCTGTCGCGGCCATGTTGTTCTTGTCTTTGTTCTTGTCGTGGCCGTGGCCGTGGTGAAAGAGCTTCTTGAGGGGGTCGAGGAGGGTCACTGTGCCGAGACTTGGAGGGAAGGGCTAAGAGAGTGCGTTGCGGGTCTTGATGAACAGGATCTAAAATGCTATGAGGTATTGAGATGTAGAAAGGTCGTATGCAAAATGCTGGAGTCACCACGGGTTGGGACGGGGAGACGTCTGCGAGTGCTTTGTTATAAAGGAGGAGGAAGGAGGTGACCAGTGACGATCGACTTTGTAATGTGGGGGGGCGGATGCTGTCCGAGGAAGACACTCCGGCGTCGCAGCACTGGCAGCAACGGGCGACGGGCCTAGCTGGAGGGTCGGGGGGTGATGGTCTATCGGAGTCTGGGCAAGTCCTATCGCGGGTCACAGGAGCGGTGGGAGGGGCCAGGAGCAGAGCGGATGTCTAATGGGCTGAGAGCTAGCGGGGTGCAGGTACGCAGGGGTTGAGCGATGTGCGCGGTATGAGGCGGTCAGGAAGCAGGCGCCAGGCCCGAGAAAATGATACTCCTCACGAGGAAGGGGGGGGGGGAGGGGGGGGGGCTTGACAGCGGAGACCAGAAGCCATCGGGGG